CATGAGGTAGACAACATCAAGAAGTGGACTAGAAAACTAGGTTACATGAGGTAGACAACATCAAGAAGTGGACTAGAAAACTAGGTTACATGAGATAGACAACATCAAGAAGTGGACTAGAAAACAAGGCTACATGAGATAGACAACATCAAGAAGTGGACTAGAAAACAAGGCTACATGAGGATAGACAACAAACGAAGTGGACAGTGGATAGACAACATCAAGAAGTGGACTAGAAAACGAGGTTACATGAGGTAGACAACATCAAGAAGTGGACTAGAAACAACATCAAGAAGGGACTAGAAAACTACATGAGGTAGACAACATCAAGAAGTGGACTAGAAAACAAGGCTACATGAGGTAGACAACACATCAAGAAGTGGACTAGAAAACAAGGCTACATGAAAACATCAAGAAGTGGACTAGAAAACAAGGCTACATGAGGTAGACAACATCAAGAAGTGGACTAGAAAACAAGAAGTGGACTAGGTTACATGAGGTAGAGACAACATCAAGAAGTGGACTAGAAAAACATCAAGGTGGACTAGAAAAACTAGGTGACATGAGGTAGACAACATCATCACATGAGGTAGACAACATCAAGAAGTGGACTAGAAAACAAGGCTACATGATCATAGACAACATCAAGAAGTGGACTAGAAAACAGGGTTACATGGACAACATCAAGAACTAGAAAACAAGGCTACATGAGGTAGACAACATCAAGAAGTGGACTAGAAAACAAGGCTACATGAGGTAGACAACATCAAGAAGTGGACTAGAAAACAAGGCTACATGAGGTAGACAACATCAAGAAGTGGACTAGAAAACAAGGCTACATGATCATGACAACATCAAGAAGTGGACTAGAAAACAAGGCTACATGATCATGACAACATCAAGAAGTGGACTAGAAAACAAGGTACATGAGGTAGACAACATCAAGAAGTGGACTAGAAAACAAGGATCATACATGAAGTGGACTAGACAACATCAAGAAGTGGACTAGAAAACTAGGTTACATGAGGTAGACAACATCAAGAAGTGGACTAGAAAACTAGGTTACATGAGGTAGACAACATCAAGAAGTGGACTAGAAAACAAGGTTACATGAGGTAGACAACATCAAGAAGTGGACTAGAAAACAAGGCTACATGAGGTAGACAACATCAAGAAGTGGACTAGAAAACAAGGCACATGAGGTAGACAACATCAAGAAGTGGACTAGAAAACAAGGCTACATGAGGTAGACAACATCAAGAAGTGGACTAGAAAACAAGGCTACATGAGGTAGACAACATCAAGAAGTGGACTAGAAAACAAGGCTACATGAGATAGACAACATCAAGAAGTGGACTAGAAAACAAGGCTACATGAGGTAGACAACATCAAGAAGTGGACTAGAAAACAAGGCTACATGAGGTAGACAACATCAAGAAGTGGACTAGAAAACAAGGCTACATGAGATAGACAACATCAAGAAGTGGACTAGAAAACAAGGCTACATGAGGTAGACAACATCAAGAAGTGGACTAGAAAACAAGGCTACATGAGATAGACAACATCAAGAAGTGGACTAGAAAACAAGGCTACATGAGGTAGACACATCAAGAAGTAGACTAGAAAACAAGGCTACATGAGATAGACAACATCAAGAAGTGGACTAGAAAACAAGGTTACATGAGGTAGACAACATCAAGAAGTGGACTAGAAAACAAGGCTACATGAGATAGACAACATCAAGAAGTGGACTAGAAAACAAGGCTACATGAGGTAGACAACATCAAGAAGTGGACTAGAAAACAAGGCTACATGAGGTAGACAACATCAAGAAGTGGACTAGAAAACAAGGCTACATGAGGTAGACAACATCAAGAAGTGGACTAGAAAACTAGGTTACATGAGGTAGACAACATCAAGAAGTGGACTAGAAAACAAGGCTACATGAGATAGACAACATCAAGAAGTGGACTAGAAAACTAGGTTACATGAGGTAGACAACATCAAGAAGTGGACTAGAAAACAAGGCTACATGAGATAGACAACATCAAGAAGTGGACTAGAAAACAAGGTTACATGAGGTAGACAACATCAAGAAGTGGACTAGAAAACAAGGTTACATGAGGTAGACAACATCAAGAAGTGGACTAGAAAACAAGGCTACATGAGGTAGACAACATCAAGAAGTGGACTAGAAAACTAGGTTACATGAGGTAGACAACATCAAGAAGTGGACTAGAAAACAAGGCTACATGAGATAGACAACACCAAGGAGTGGACTAGAAAACAAGGCTACATGAGGTAGACAACATCAAGAAGTGGACTAGAAAACAAGGCTACATGAGGTAGACAACACCAAGAAGTGGACTAGAAAACAAGGCTACATGAGGTAGACAACACCAAGAAGTGGACTAGAAAACAAGGCTACATGAGGTAGACAACACCAAAAAGTGGACTAGAAAACAAGGCTACATGATCATGACAACATCAAGAAGTGGGCTAGAAAAGAAGGCTACATGAGGTAGACAACATCAAGAAGTGGACTGAAAGAAAGCTGCATGTGTACAGTGCGGGTGCGAAGCGAAACTTCAACGGGGAGATGGCACATGATGATGATAACGCTTCTGAGAAAAATCAGATCAAGATGAATTATCAAATGTTTTTTTAATGGAACTTCCTTAAGCAGTTGGTGGAGGGAGAGTCAGAAAGATAAAGAAAAAAGCTAGGAAGGGGAGAAGAGAGGGAGGAGATGGATGAGTAATAGAGGCAAGGAGGGGGATGGTAGTGATAGAGGGATTTCAAAGATAATTATTTGAGAGCATCTTAAATTGTAAAGATTTATTCAATCTAAGTTTATTCAGTTTAATAGATTATCTTCAAAATTTGATTTTCCCCCCCAAATGTTATAAACGATCAACAGCAGCAGCAGCAGCAGCAGCAGCAGCAGCAGCAGCAGCAGCAGTAGTAGTAGTAGTAGTAGTAGTAGTAGTAGTAGTAGTAGTAGTAGTAGTAGTAGTAGTAGTAGTAGTAGTAGTAGTAGTAGTAGTGGTGGTAGTGGTAATAGTAGTAGTAGTAGTAGTAGTAGCAGTAGTAGTAGTAGTAGTAGTAGTAGTAGTAGTAGTAGTAGTAGTAGTAGTAGTAGTAGTAGTAGTAGTAGTAGTAGTAGTAGTAGTGGTGGTGGTGGTAGTGGTAGTAGTAGTAGTAGTAGTAGTAGTAGTAGTAGTAGTAGTAGTAGTAGTAGTAGTATTAGTAGCAGTAGTAGTAGTAGTAGTAGTAGTAGTAGTAGTAGTAGTAGTAGTAGTAGTAGTAGTAGTAGTAGTAGTAGTGGTGGTGGTGGTGGTGGTGGTGGTAATAATAATGTGCTGAATAACATATAAATGGGGTGAACACTTGAAAAAGTGAAAAAAAAAAAACGTACATAAAATAATAAATTAAAAAGAGAACTCTACGTGACTGGGATGGGAAGGGTGGCTTGCCTTACTTGAGGCTGGGATGGGTAAGTACTGCCTCCCCCTCCCCTCCCCTACCCCTCCCCTCCCCACCAACACACACACACAATTTTTCTGAGGGTCTTCAGTGTGCCTAAGCCTAAAGCAGCTTCTTACCCCTATTTGCAGCAGTCATGACGCTACTGTAAATCTGTCATGAAATTCAACCAGTTCAGCGTCATCTCCATAATAAAAGGTTTACTACACTATATCTACGACACCCCTATCTCTCACCCTGGATGTACACTTTCAGACTGCTTATCCTCCATCTCTTCCCCTCCCCCCCCCCCCCCCCGTCCCCAATCCTCACACTTGTGTCTCTCGCTGCCTCCGTCTTGCTGGCATTTCTCCAAGTTTCTCATCCGGTATTTTCATATGGTTACAATACTTCACACATCTTTTTTTTGGGTCAAAATCTCTCCTAACTTTCACATTTCAGAATCTATGTGTTTGATCATCTTAGTTTCTTTGAAATGCAACCTGTTCTATTCTTATGCATATCACTATTTCTAGAACCACACCCACTTCAAACTTCTGGTCGTTGTTCGTTGTCCAAGTTTCTAGGTCAAGTAACAGTGGTTATGTTCAGTATCATTATCTAATAGCGTTGTGGTAGTGTTGAGTACGCAGACGATTATTACAGTTTAACAGTTCTCATCTAAATATGTAATTTCATTCTTTAGAGGACATTATTCCATTTTGTTCAATGTTTTTGGCCAGTCATACTGTCTAATACCTGTATTGATGTCAATCTTTTTATTTCTTGATTGTTATGTCTGTGTAGCTCATAGCATCCTCTTGTTTTCCTTAAGTTGACGTGCCAGATCTGTCTCTCTCTTTTATTCTCTCCCCACTCTCCCCTTTTTTAAACCATATCTTTCTCGCTGTTTATCTGATTTTTTAATTTTTTATTGAAGCATCCCTTCACGCCCATCACCTGTAACATTCACAATTTGTTATATGAAGGCCTTTATTTTAATCATGAAGTCCGTTATCTCTCGATCAACAGCCGCACCGTAAAATATAGATTTCTATCAGATCTAATACATGTTCAATTGATGACTTCATCGTCTGGTTGCGGCTGCAGCCTCAAACTGGACCATCTTTGGTCATCGTGTCATGTATTTATTATGTTAATGTTCAACAGAGGCCTGACTCACCCACGGCCTTGGCCTGCCGCCGACGTTCCCACCCAGCCTCAACACCAGCAAATTATTGCGCATCATATTAAAACTGTTTTATATTTAAACAACAAATATTGCACATATTAACTAATTTTAACTGAAACCCATGTAGCTTATTAGTATTACTATTTATTAAACTGTAACTCACTTATTGAAAGCTAAAACATATTCAAGCCGATGAACTACTTCTTGCACTACTGTCAGCGGATGTATTTTAAAGCCCATTGAACCGGCGTATTAAGGAAAAAGACGGCAGCCCGCTTCAGTCTACCACTTTCGACTGCTATCACATTCTAGACAGTTTAACATCTACAGCCCCTGAATTACAATGCGTGAAATCGTACATCTCCAAGCCGGACAGTGTGGAAACCAGATTGGTGCTAAGGTGAGTATCGTCTGCTTTTTGTTGTGCAAGAAAATAACTGTCACTTTCGCTGGCTTTGGGAAGCTGAAGCTGCTCAACTTTAACAATGGCTGACCGTGTTGATGGACGGACGCTGACGATGCAAGACAACTCACAAGTGGATGATACATAATATTCGAGCAACACTAAAATAATCGGACATGTTTGTAACAACTGTTTTGATGCTATAACGGAATATTGGGTTTAGAAAAAGCTGGAACAAAAATAGGGTATGATGATAATTGTAATAATATTCTAATTATTAATTATGTGAAAAAACTGACTCACTAGCAGTCGCCGGTTCCATCAGTGAAAATCTGAAGAGAAGGCCTAGAGCCAGTGCTGCCAATATATGATTGTCTTCAAATCCTAAGCTAAGCTGATACAGCAATACATAAGCAAAGAACAAAAAACCCAAGAATGATAAAGAGTAAAAATGTATAGTTACAAAACATACCCATTTTTATGTGATATATATAAAAAAAACCTGATTCCAAAATCTTAACCCAAACCGTCATTTAAAAAAACCCAGATCTTGGGGGGGGGGGGGGGGGAATCCAGTATTGGTAGCCCTGCCTAGGGATAGCAGCCATTGTTGAAGTGATTCAAGCCTGGCTTGTCTTTTATGACTCATCTGGGAGTAGGTTTGTACTGGTTCACTATTATTGATATGCCTAATCTGGTGACAAGGATGATCTCTTCTTTGTGATAAGCAGTTAAAAGTCCTACAACATATACTGCTGTGCTTATCTCATTAATTTACCGTGGGTGGGTCCTGATAGTCTGCTACTGATAAACTGATAGTTAATCAACTATAGTTGTTGCTGATCATTTTATTTTGTCATTTCTTCTTTCCTCAGTGTTCAGTGTCTCAGGTCTGTAAACTCCAACAGAAAGGGCACTTTATTTTAAATTCACACCCAAAGAAAATCTAACTAAGAAAATCCACTATTCTTTGGGTTATGTTAGTTGTCTCTGGTGCAGTAGGGGGCTGACGGATATACCCTTACACCAACCCATAACACCCCAGCACTGTTAGACTTTCCTGAAACTCTAGGGTTTCCTTAGATTTTGGTGACTTATAAATAAAGTACCGCAGGAAGTTCTGGTTGTCCCTCCACTTCTGTACTTGAGTTTTGTTCCGGAACTTGAGTTTTGCCTGCACATCCGTTTTACAGATCTGGTTTATTTTTATGCAGACTGTTGGTTCCTTGCCTCTGTGGCAGATTCACTCTGTCTTTGTCAAACAAATCCCCAATTGGTTGCCCTCTATAACATGCTTGTTTGAGGGAGACTGGGTCTTCTTTCTGTCAAAATAGGGCCCTGGACCCACAAGGAGAATTTATTTTAAAATGGAAACTAGTAGTTAGTAAAGTTCATTTACCAAAGTGGACCTGTTATCGGACATTGGGGTCATAGCATAGTTATCACATTTCTTGTCATTTTAAGGGATCATTTTTTTTTAATTATTTGTATTCACATTTTTACTGGGCAGGTATCATTTTATAATACTGTATACATGTGAAATTTACAGATCGATGGTATTCTTTGAACTTTATACCAAAGATATGGCAGCGAAATCAGTCTAAAAGTCTTCATAATTAAGGATCTTTATTTGGTTTTTCCACAAGAACACCTATTTTTCCACAGAATCTGGAGATTGTATGTTGACATTGATGTCGCTTGAGACCTAAAAATGGCTTGCAACTATTCATTATGTTTCATTATGCATCACATTAGGCTGACAGTTTATTTTTTCACATAGTTAACATCTGTTGGTGTGAGGTTAATGATTGTGAACTGTGTTCACAACCTGCAGCTTCTTCTTCATTGGGACTTTTGCAGAGCTCATTCTACTATCAGAAACTAAGGTGTGCAGTAATAGTCAGGCTGGGGAAATTAATGTAGGCCAGATTTTCTCATTCTGAAGAAGGCCATACTACAGAAGTTCAAAGCCAGTTGAACTGGTCATCTTGTGAACTATAAGTAATATCATTTTGGATATTTTAAAATAATTGTTGCCAGATGATCCTAATTACACCAATTTTATATTTTTCAATGTATTGAATTACATAACTTGTAACTGGAGAAACCAAAACCCAAATCTAGCAGACAGAACAACAGTAAGAGCAAATCATTTGCGACCAATCAAATCGAAGACATGAAAGAGCGCTTAATGAAACACAACTTCAAGCAAGATGGCGGAATGGGAGATTTCTTTCAGTTTAGGTATAATTTTCCTGGAACTAAATCTGACAGGTAAAGTCAACAATACGAGCAAATTCCTTCTGACCAATCAGAGCGAAGAAACGAACGTAAGGTGTAACTTGAACAAAACTTCAAGCAAGATGGCGGAAAACCGATTTCAGTCAATAAACCATATTTTCCTAACTAGTGGAGTTGTAGCAATTCAAGAAAATTAAAACAGATTCAAATGTTTAGGACCTTCATTCTAACAGACATGTTTTATGATGATGTTTTGAGATGTACAAAACAGATATATCTCCCAAAGAGACATTATCTTCTGTATGACTACACAACACACTAACAAATGGCACCATCTGTAATCACGTACATAAATACTTACAATGCAAGGCAGGCAAACACCACACTATACAAATACATTTACCATTAAAGAAAAGAAAAAAGAGAAAAAGACAAAGCTTTAATTAAAAAAAAAAAAAGAGATACCCATATTTAAGTTTTGCTTTCCTATGATTATAACTTTGATGTATGTTTGTATGTATGAATGTATGTATGATCATTGAATTTTAAACATGTGTGAATTTTGCAAAAACATACGCAAGACTTACAAAAGGCAACATGTGTAAACAGACGTACAGATACTTACAATGCAATACAGGCAAACTATATACTGCACACACGTTTGAATTGGGAAAAAAAAATTAATCAAAAGAAAAAGTACCAAAAAATAATACAGATAGCGGTTTGTGGGGGGAAAAAAAAGAGAAAAGAAAAATGAAAAAAGAAATTACAGTTTGTACAGAAAAAATAATCCAAAAAAAAAGAGATGGTCTGTTTTCACTCTTAGCCGTTCCAGTCTTCTCCGGCTCATGCTGCAACATCTCAGCTCGTGGCCGATACAGGGACGCACAGCCAGCTCCACCCACACTTTGATTTGGAATATTAGATGCCTCATGACAACTCAAATAGTGCTGGAATAGTTTTTTTTAGTTTAGCTGAATATAGAGATGAATATTTGCATTCCATTCCACTTTTAAAGCAGTTGTGATTTTTTTCTTCTTTCAGTTTTGGGAAGTTATCTCAGATGAACATGGAATTGATCCAACCGGCACATATCATGGGGACTCAGACTTACAATTAGAACGCATCAATGTCTACTACAATGAAGCTTCAGGTGTGTGGCATTGTTTTATGTGGTTATATTATTGCTTATTCCAGTGTTTGTGTGGGTGTTCATATGTAGTCTTGTGTGTGTATGTTTATAGTATTGTATGTAAATGGTATGTGTTGTGTACTGTTTGTAGCGTTGCTGTGTGGGAACAGATTTTTAGACTAAGTCCAGCACGTCATTTATCTTCACATTATTGGCTAAGAAACACTCCTGGGAAAAGGAGGGCATACCCTGCTACACAATAATGATTCCATTCATCTAGGTTACCCTTTGATCCAAGACTGACATGAAAGCCACGTATCACATTGTACCATGCCTTCTGCTATTATTATGTCTAATCTGCCTTGGTGCTTGATATCAGATGCTGTTTGCTAGCCAGCATTCCTTGATGTTAAAATCTTTTAAGATGTAATTTTCTTTTTCTTGGTTTTTAGGAAAAGAATCCATGATCTTCTTATCCGCAGGCGAGTGTCTAGCTCCCTTCATAGTCAATTGTAGTCTCATAATCTGTCAATACCATTTCAGTTCAGACGCCTCTATTTTCTTCCTTACTGACTGGAAGATAATTATATAGTCCATGATTCACATCCATGTGCTGCTACAGCGAAGATGTTTGCTCTCTACATGTTATATTGTATAATTTTCACATTCTCTTTTCTTGTCAGGTGGAAAATATGTTCCTCGTGCTGTCCTTGTTGACCTTGAGCCAGGAACCATGGACAGTGTCCGGTCCGGACCTTTTGGTCAGATATTCCGTCCTGATAACTTTGTGTTTGGACAGTCAGGGGCTGGTAACAACTGGGCCAAAGGTCACTACACTGAAGGCGCGGAATTGGTAGACTCCGTGATGGATGTCGTCAGAAAGGAGGCAGAGAACTGTGACTGCTTACAGGTATTTCCTTTGCTTATTCTTAATCGTTATGTATATTTTTTCATATTTGCCGTTAACTCTTGTGTGTAGGAACAATTTGCAATTCAGCACTGAATGGGCAGTACTGGATATAGTCATTCTATGTGAGAATCTTTGACGCCGATCCTTTTATTTTTTTTCTCAAGTTGAAATATGGCAGGCTGGTAAATATGTGATACTGCTAGACAAGCTGTTTTCCTTATCTGCTGTGTCAGTATCTGTTTGTGTTTGTAGAACATTTCTAGTTGGTTGTTTCATTGGTTGAGCGAGCAGCACAGATGTCTGTAGCTGGATCTCCGAGGTTTCATTCACCTTGGGATACTGTAGCTGGATCTCCGAGGTTTCATTCACCTTGGGATACTGTAGCTGGATCTCCGAGGTTTCATTCACCTTGGGATACTGTAGCTGGATCTCCGAGGTTTCATTCACCTTGGGATACTGTAGCTGGATCTCCGAGGTTTCATTCACCTTGGGATACTGTAGCTGGATCTCCGAGGTTTCATTCACCTTGGGATACTGTAGCTGGATCTCCGAGGTTTCATTCACCTTGGGATACTGTAGCTGGATCTCCGAGGTTTCATTCACCTTGGGATACTGTAGCTGGATCTCCGAGGTTTCATTCACCTTGGGATACTGTAGCTGGATCTCCGAGGTTTCATTCACCTTGGGATACTGTAGCTGGATCTCCGAGGTTTCATTCACCTTGGGATACTGTAGCTGGATCTCCGAGGTTTCATTCACCTTGGGATACTGTAGTTGCTGCACGGCAGAATGTGACATATTAAGCACTAAATATACTTCTGTAGAGAATAGGCCAGGCCCTGTGCCTTATGCTCTGAGGGTTTTTTATTTGGATTCATGCTGTTGGTCAGTGCATACAGATGTTTAAGAGATAGTTGGGAGTAATCATTCTCGGCAGACAACCAGACCTTCGCACAGAAAGACTGATGCACATACAGTAAGAACTAAGTTAATCCTTGCACCTTTGAAGAGTAGTGTTTTGTCAATTGTCTGACTTCTACCTGGCTGTAGTAAAGCAGATAGATCAATCTCTGCCTTTGTATAGGACACACCTGATCCAGCTTTTGTAAATGTGGACATTTGGGTGAGGAGATAAATTAATTAGTTGCGTTTTCAGCAACATATCAGCGGGTCAACACATAACCTCTATTCCTGTGGCAGCAAACACCACACATAGCAGCAGGTCAACACATAACCTCTATTCCTGTGGCAGCAAACACCACACATAGCAGTGGGTCAGCACATAACTGCTCTATTCCTGTGGCAGCACACACCACACATAGCAGCGGGTCAGCACATAACTGCTCTATTCCTGTGGCAGCACACACCACACATAGCAGCGGGTCAGCACATAACTGCTCTATTCCTGTGGCAGCACACACCACACATAGCAGCGGGTCAACACATAACTGCTCTATTCCTGTGGCAGCACACACCACACATAGCAGCGGGTCAACACATAACTGCTCTATTCCTGTGGCAGCAAACACCGCACAAAATATCCATCACTGTCCCCTATATATAATTGGTTTTTAAAAAAAAGAGAATGCTACTTCAGGAAAAGTTAATAGTGTAGTAAATGACCCCTTTGCACGCCTTAGGCATCTAGGGCACACACTGGGTGATGTGGAAGCAGCACACAAACGCATTAATTTCATCAGGGAGCTATCAGAAGTGCCAGCATAAACAGTTAATTGCTAGAGTTACAGTTCAGCATTGATGGCAGTATATATTGGCAAGCAGTCTCCTGTCATTTCCTGAAACTACAGCTTACAACACAAACCACCTTGGGCGCAGTCAAAACACATTCCAAATAAAATCCACAACTGTCAGTAGGGCACCATGCACTCAGCTCAGTAGCTGGCCGACAGAACTATAAACTGTCAGTCCTCATATGAGGGAAAATGCCGCACATAGCTTTCCAGGACTAAACTCGTCAGCCTGCCTGTCTGCTATTTTTTAGTTTGTCAGAAATGATTGGTCTGTACCTGGCTACATTTGTTGCAGTTAAGTTAGTACATCTGTTATCTGTTTTGTGCATGTGTACTTGCAGTTCATCTATCTATGCTGTTTTCGTGTGTGTACTTAATGTGTGTTTTTTTCTTCACCCTCAGGGATTCCAACTGACACATTCTCTGGGAGGTGGCACTGGGTCAGGAATGGGCACTCTGTTGATCAGCAAGATGAGGGAGGAGTTCCCAGACAGGATCATGAACACATTCTCAGTGGTACCTTCTCCAAAGGTCAGCTACATTATCAGCTTGTTGTTCATATTTTTTTTTTAAGGAATTGTGCAGATTTCCAGCTGACCTCCTTATGTAGGATACTGAAAGCTGGGGGGGGGGGATTGGCAGGCTGCTAACTAACAAGAGTGTTATAAAGGGCAAATAATTAGGTGTGTTGGGTCGAAAGACGAGATATCACAGGCTAGCTGTTAAATACACCATATTGTGATAACTGTCCTTTTAAGGGTGAGTGCAGAAGAAGCTTACCTCCAGGTGTTTTTGGCCATGTTCAAATATTTTTATAGGCTAGGCATTTGCCTACTGAACTCAGTGATTGGTACTGGACCAGAGGGGCTCTGCACTTCAGCACAAACACGAGAATGTAATAATTCCTTACTACTGGGTTATAAAGAGATGAGTGTTTGTAGTATTTCGTTGTCCTCCGCTTTGTTAAATTCAAAATATTTGATTCTGCAGCCTTAATTATGTGATTTATAAAACAAAAGAATGAACCTGCTACCCTTTAACAAGCATGTCATAAAAGGCAGCTTATTAATGGCTTGCTGAAATGAGCTGTTTTAGTTAAAAAGGTGTGGATATTACTGTCTGGTTGTTAACCGCAACACAGTATGTCAGCCACCAAGTTATCTCATGTGTTTTATTTATTATAGGTATCAGAGACATATCTCAACCTCTTCTCCTCACCATTCACCAGCTGTAAGGTCAGGTACACAATTCTGGTTGTTCATCCATTGTTGCTAAAACATGTATTGATCAGCACCCGTTTCTGGACTTTGATCTTGTTGCAGAACCTGCATGTACATCTGTTTTACAAATCAGGTTTATTTATATGGAGACTGTTGGTTCCTCTCCTCTTAACAGAAGCACTTTGACTTTAAAGAAACACCCCAAATTAGTTGACTTTTGCTACATGCTTGTTTTAGAAACATTTTTTTTTAAACAATGAAGCCACAAAACCCACTTAGAGAACATCTCTGCTGTTTTCTGTTGTAGATTTCTGACATCTCAACTGTTTTCTGTTGTTTGTTCTAGGTATCAGACACTGTAGTAGAGCCATACAATGCTACTCTGTCTGTACACCAGCTGGTTGAGAACACCGATGAGACTTTCTGCATTGACAATGAGGCCCTGTATGACATCTGCTTCCGAACCCTGAAGTTGACCACTCCCACCTATGGTGACCTTAATCATCTGGTCAGTGCCACCATGTCTGGCGTGACAACCTGCCTCAGGTTTCCTGGCCAGCTCAATGCTGATCTCAGAAAGCTAGCTGTAAACATGGTTCCATTCCCTCGTCTGCACTTCTTTATGCCAGGGTTTGCTCCGCTGACCTCAAGAGGTTCTCAGCAGTACCGGGCTTTGAGTGTGCCGGAGCTCACGCAGCAGATGTTTGATGCCAAGAACATGATGGCCGCCTGCGACCCGCGCCATGGCCGCTATCTCACTGTAGCTGCAATCTTCCGTGGCCGCATGTCCATGAAGGAAGTGGATGAGCAGATGTTGAATGTCCAGAATAAGAACTCCTCCTACTTCGTCGAGTGGATCCCCAACAATGTGAAGACGGCCGTCTGTGACATTCCTCCCCGAGGTCTCAAGATGTCTGCCACCTTCATCGGAAACAGCACAGCCATTCAGGAGCTCTTCAAGCGCATCTCTGAGCAGTTCACGGCCATGTTCCGCAGGAAGGCTTTCCTCCATTGGTACACTGGTGAGGGTATGGACGAGATGGAGTTCACTGAGGCAGAGTCCAACATGAACGATTTGGTCTCTGAATATCAGCAGTATCAGGACGCTACAGCAGAAGATGAGGGAGAGTTGGACGAGGAAGAGGGAGGTGAAGGAGAGGGCCATGATTATGCATAAACTGTGGGGACCAACTACTGCCAGAACCGATGCATTTATTCTTCTGCTTAGCAATGTTGCCTATGTTTAATGTTCGTTTTTTGCTTGCATCAGTTTAAAGAAAAAACAATTTTTTTTTACACCATATTTACAATAACAAAAATTCTTGTAACATGTGATATGCCGGAATTACTCGGCTTCATTTACCTAATCAAAACATATATATGTTTTAAACTGCAGCCTAAACCCATAAGCAGTCAGCAAATCTTGGGGTTGGTTCTGCAACTTTAATTAATCTAAGACCTGTAATAACATACATTGGTTGTTTTTTACATTGTTTTGTAAAATGTTTCACATGTTAGCTCAGTCAGCTGTTCTGCTGAGTCAATGATGTGCACTGAGCAAAAACAAACTTGTACAAGATCAGTATTATATCACCAGCATGGTTTCTTTGGCTGTGTAGTAACATTAGTGGCTCTCAACTTAAGACGGATGATAGGCAGTGTGATGTAACATGTTCTCCGTTTGTGAATCCTGGCATATGTTTGTAACACCACAAGGAATCGAACATTGAGCTTTTGCACGCTAAATGTTGGTCAGCATTGTGTTGCCTCTGTGATGTCTTCATTGGTTGTCCTCCTTTTGTCAAGCTGACAGCTAGTTTGTGTGTGTGTCTATGTTGGTTACCCTGAAGCTTTCTGACAGTGTAGCAGTATATATGGTGCTCAAACTGCATTTAATAACTAGTCTTTCTCTGCTCCTCTAGTCCCATGGAGGTTTTGTTTGTGTCATTGATATGTATCTCCTTGTTAGTCATTTTTTTTGTAACTTTTGGATACTTTTAATTATATTTTGTGTAATTACAATTTACAGTAAATCTGTTTTCTGTAATAATTAGTTGTTATATATAATAATCAAAAAAATAGTATTAATCTGCACTCATAGAAAGAAGTAAATAGATAGAACACACTATATTATCGTATCTAGTGTGTCCTATCTAAATACAATTTGTGTGAGTGCCGAAGCAATCCATTTTTATTTGTATATTATGGACTGTTTCTACAGTCTCAAGGGTTCCCTAACCTTGTATTGCTTGCCAGTTTGACTTCTCTTGTCATGTTTACTTTTGAACATTGACAGCTGCATTTATTACCTTTATCATTGTTCTTGTGCTGCTTGTTTTGTCCTGACAGAAAATAAATGTCTTGTGCTGTATCATAGCCATGAGTTTGTCTTGGTACATGTGTGGCAGACATTTACTGGTTGATTTGAAAGAAGTGGTGTTATTTTGTGCGGTTGTTTATGTTGAGAAAAAAAATTTTGAATACATACCAGCAATATATTTTTGTAGAAGGAGGTTAGAGATGGCCATTGTTGATGAATGGGAGAGACTGGAAACTGCAAAATACGGTGGTAACACTATGGCCAAATACAGTCTAATGAAGATGCCTTGAAGGAACTCATGAGGACATATATGCCGGCATCAGAAAGTAAGATATGAAAGACTGGAGTATGTCATGACAAGAACAAAAAGGGGGAAGCAGGTGGATACCAAAAGAGGGTGTTGGCCAGGAAGTTCTTTATACAGACAGTTCAGCAATTCATGAAAACATTAACCAGCTTGTTCTTTATGGATTGTTGCTCTTTTCATGGCACACCTATATGTGTGATTTGATAGCCAATACATGTTAAACGTCTGTGGCTTCGGCGTTGTGAACGGGCTTTGTAATGATAGTTTAGATCCCAGCTGCAGATGGTTGGTTTTGATAGTAAGCTATGGCAAACTACTGAATGCAAAATTGGTTCTGCAACGTCATTTAAAGGATACTCAGCCAACTTTAACATCTTCAGTGTCTTGTATCTACACTTCAGCTTCATAGCAAACGGGTCGCCCCATCTTTGCTCCCCTCCTGTGCCAACGAAAAACACTCAGAATGTTTATCACAGTCCCTTGTGGAAAGATTGACAGACTGCTGTCTCAGCATATCTAGCGTACACTCACTTTAAAGCATACGGTAGCCATCCGTAGTGCTAACACAAACAGTCCAATATCTACACTGCTGAAGTGGTCGCTGCCTCATTTTCTGGACACTGCCTTGTTCTCTCCAGGACACTGTGGCACTAAACATGGCCAAAGTTCTCAGCCTAAGGAGCAGGGTGCTGTTTATGGGCCAAGTCTTCTGGATGTCAAGAGCATTAAGCAAAATACACGAAATAGATTGCTGTTACAACAAGAGGATCAAGTTTTACCCCCACTTAACCTCTGTCTATTTAGAACATCGCACAAACTGCGTAGCTCGTGCGACTATCTCTAGGAATCAGGGAAAATGCACTCTTTAACAGTTTTACATTATAAATAGAGATTTCCTGAGGACTCTTATTCCCTCTGTCCAACGTTTGCATGGGCAGCCTCCTCTTTACTTCCACCCTGATGTATACATCATTGTTTGCTGTGGTATACTCTCTGTTGGCGTCCACCTTAGATGGTTAAATCATTTCACTTGTTTTCTAATGAAATCCATAGCTGTCACATTTTCCTTTGGATTTAATTAATCGTCGATGATCTCATTTCTTGTTATTTAAGAGCCCTTCGCAAGAATCTCATTGCAGTTGTAATTTTCTCTTTTTCTGGCACTGATAGCATAGGGTTGGCAAGAAGAAGCAGAACGATGTATAAATCTTTTATCCACGATCTGGTAAAACTAAAACTAAAGCTGCCTTGTCAGCAAACAAGTCATCCATTTTGTTGAGCTAGTGAAAGTTGCCTGGGCATCAAAGCGCCAAGGATGAACATTAATTCTGTTTAAAACTGGGAACAGTGTTTTTCAGACGACTGAACTGATGGGATACGTTGTTTGTGTGTGGGGGGGGGGGGGGTGTAGACCTAAACAGGTACTGGTACTAACCACAAAGTGTCTAAACAGGTGTCAGTACTCATTACAAAGTGTCTAAACAGGTGCCGGTACTCTCGACAAAGTGTCTAAACAGGTGCCCATACTCACTACAAAGTATCTTAACAGGTGCCGGTACTCACCACAAAGTGTCAATTACAGTAGTGCAGAAAATGATGCTAAATAAAGGTGCGTACCGTCGCACGCCGAAAAAAAAAAACCGAGTTCTACCCTGGTTTGTTTCCTACTATAGTCTGCTAAGTGGAGGGTTAATGATCCCCGAGACCCGAAGTCATGGCAGATCAGTGGAGAAAATATCAGATACCCTGTTCAACCTCAACAAAAGTTATACTGCACAGTTATGTTTTCACCGTTGACGTCTTGCACAGTGGGCATTTCCATGCCCGCTGAGTCCTCTGATGCAGCAGCCACTCCATTGTTCCTCTACTGACTGTTCCCATGAGGAGTTGGCTATCGTAACTCCTGTTTGACCTCGAAGATGGCATAGGCGTGCTTGACCAAGCTTAGCTCCAAGGTCACGAAATCTCTTTAACCCTTTCCAGCTTTCTTCTTGTCGTGACATCTCCAGTCATTCACCTAGTCCGTACAACGTTGATAATACCAACTCTGTCCATGCTTCTTCCCGTTTGCACTAGTGCATTATTTGCCATCTGGTCATCTCTTTTACCTATTACGTTTCACTCCTGCACTACCAGGTGTGTAGATCCAGATGATGGAGGTTAACGGCGACCTCCGACTCACACCCCCCCCCCTTCCCTTTGAATTGAGAAAGGGTTAGTTGCGAATCCTTTTCAGGACGTTGCAGAACCAACCCCAACAGTCCCTGGTTGTTATGTGATTTTTCTAGGCAAATTTACGTCCAGTAGTTTGGAATTAGGAAAACATAATTAAATAAAAGAAAACATTGGGGTAGGGGATCTGAGACCCTCCATTTCCCCCAATCATGTTCCCCTGCTCACCACCTTACATATTTTCTAGCAAACAATTAAGTGGGAACCCCACGTCCTTATGTGCTCTAAAATGTGTGGGGGGGGGGGAGGGGCGCAGCTCAAGGGACCTGAACTTCCAGGTTCCGTGCTTAAAGATAAGAATCAAACGCACAAATCCTAAAAGTTCTGTTCAGTCACATTTCAGTTATACTGAGGCCTTAAAAGTAACCTGAAAGGAAGGGGGCGGGGTAATGAAAGCACGGGCGCTTTCTAAAATTTTAACCAAGACCGTCTTGGTTTAACACTCAGAGATTGCACAGCCTCAAATCATGATGGCATACTAACAGGGCAGTCCCATGAACCCCATTCAAACTCAAGAACTTATAATTAGTTTGCCTGTAACGACAACACTAACAAAGTATAACAGTAGGCAGTTATGCGCGGGTAAGGATTCGTGCCTTTCTGCTGCGGTTAGGTGACTCGGATTCTGTACTGCTAGAAACAAGAATGGTGTCAGCATGACTTTATGCACCCTATAAAATTTACCCGGTGGTGAATTTTCATGTTCAAGTTTATTCAACGGATCAACAGCATGACACAGAGGTGTAACCCATAAGTGCTCCGTTATACTTTTTACTCAAGTCTGAGTCTGAAGAAGAATCTCAGCGCAGTGCACGAACTCTGCTGCACTGGCGAGGATCCTGAAATACTTTGGGTAGATTTTAAACTCCAAATTCCAAGGTATTTTTTTACGTGCGCAACAATACACACTGGCGTCCGATCTTACTACACAGAGACCAGGGTATACTTGTAGAAGTCCGCGTAAAAAAAATCCCAGCTTTTACGCTCCCCGAGTTGGCTCCTGGGATCCCTATGTAAACCCCTTGTCCCCTAACTAGTTCGTCGTAAAAGTTGAATTGTGGGTATTTCCTTCAAAGTCAGAGTGCATCTGCCTCAGAAACGTGAAACTAGCAGTCTGCATACAAACACGCCAGATCTGTAAAATAGGTTTCCCACAGGAGCTTACAGCCGACGAACGCGAAGATAAATGAAAATAAAGACAAAACAGAAGTATTGTTTCAAAACACAATTTGACTATGAAAATGCAAGAAATTAAGCAGATGAACAGATAAAATATCGTGAAACCTCGCTGAGGGCCAGGACAAAGGCAACGTTATGCAAATCCTTATCATGTACAGTGTTAGTTGGCGTAGATAAGTTTTAAGTCGAAAGATTCCAACGAACCAAATGCAATACACAAATAAAAGACCGGCATTCTTCTTCTGCATTCGACATCAGTTATGCTAAACATTGAGTCCCATCTGGGTCACAAAAAGGATTGTGCGTTTAAGGTCGCCACCGTCCCCCATAGCAGTGTGGTCCCCTGGGCCAGATCCACAGTATTTGCTGGGAGAGGTAAGGGCAGTACTGCAGTATGTGCTCAGGAATATGTCTTTCTGCTCCACAATCACAGGCAGTAGATTCTTTTATGCCTATCCTGTACAGGTGTGCTCGAAGACCACAGTGTCCAGTCCGGAGTCTAAAAATTGATGTTTGTTCTTTCCTGTTGAGCTTGTTTATGCACGGCCAGCTCCAGATTTACATACAGCCGGATGTGGTTTATGCTGTCACTCTCTGGTCTGTAATCTCCATTCTGCTTTCTCCACTCCCGCTTGAAAGACTGCTTTAGCGCTGTTTTGGTTTCCTTGTAGCTGTGTGGTGGATGAGGTTGTGGAAGATTACTGCCAGCTTATGCCAACTCATCTGCTCTCTAATATAATATCTTTGAATACCACAGTGGGCTGGTATCCACTGCAAGACCGACATTAATGATGATGATGGTGATAGTGGTTGAAATTGCAATAATTTTTTTAAAGTAAAAGACTTTTTTTTTAAAATAATAAAATTTAACTCAATTTCACACGTATACATGTTATCAAAAAATTACACAGAAATAATAATAGTTTTTTAATAATACAACATATTTACATATCAAGGCAAAACTTTTGGCCAAGAGAAACATTAGTGCAAGTCAAACTTTACGGGTCGCTGAGTGAATTACAAAAGACAGCGAAGTTCATACTAGAGACAACATTGTGCAGATATAGATAATTTATTTCAAGCGAACGATTGAAAAAAAAATACTTCGATGTTTTCAACAGAGCAGTGAGTAAACTTTAAGAGGCTAGAAATAACAGGTACACCGGCAGCACAATCAACACGCTACAGAAACTTGTACTTGTACTCGTTGAATTTTGAGGTAGATATTTACTTTTATTTCAAAATTTCTCCCTATTTAATAAACGATACAGGTGAAACTCCACCTGTTTGTTTGTTATTGAGTACACATTGACTACCAATAGATTCCCACGGTTACTTTACTGTCCAGGAGTATGCTTTGTGCCCTGGAGCCGCTGGTTGCATCACACTGACACTGACTCTCTCTACTGACGTCGTCTTTGTGATGACTTTCTCCAGTCCACTGTGTTAATTAGACATAATTAAATCAGTGATAACATTTTAATATCAAGTACATACATTTAATATTCTATTATTAAATAGACGATGAAATATATATAATACTTTTTTTTGTTTAAAGGAGAACCCTTTTTTTTTTACCAATTTAATTAATGACCACACGGTCTGTGATCTAGGGGTAAGTTTAGGATATGCCGCATCATGTGGTAAAACTAAAAGTAAAATCCAAAATTGATGACAGTAGTCAGTAGGGGTCATCTTGTGACTGCAGCTGTTGCTGCTGCTGCTACCACAAACTGCATATAACGGCTATCCTCCGACTAACAGTCGGTAAAGATGGCGGCGGCAAAATATCCATTCGAGCTAAAGTCACGTGACTTAATTGCGCACGCTGCTGCTCGTGGGTCCTAGCCATCTAGTTTAGCCCCATTCCACGCCGTGTGGGGATACACGTTGCGGTGGCCGTAGTCGCCGGAAAACCGCAAATTAAGTCACGTGACTGTGGCTCAAACGGATATGTTGCCGCCGCCATCTTTACCGACTGTTAGTCGGAGGATAGCCCATATAACTAATTATACTTTACTTAGTCGCTCCTCTTCTACCTTGGGGTGTACAGGTATAACTAATTATACGTACACTGAACTATGAGTTCAGCAAAAGTGTGAAGGGTCTTGTGCTTATACCAGATTTGATTTCCAAGGAGAGAGACAACTTAGCACACACACAAGGCTCGCATCTGGTGTGTTTTCACAGCATAACAATGTCTGAAGAAAAGACAGGCGGACACTACCAATAAAGAATGAAAGTGTATGGTTGTCGTTTTCAGCTAACGTCCTCTTTAGTATAGTATTTTAATTTTTTTATTTAATCATATGAGATGCTTAACTCTGAACCCACTGTAACTGCTGACCACCAGCTTTCTTCCCTTCCTAACTGGGATTCATATTTCAGTGTATATTGTTTTTAACAATTCTTCATTGCGGATCTCCTCGGAATAACGACCCCAAATTATCTAGGTAAAAAACCTACCCTTACAGGGCCTCAATATGTCATCTAATATAACTGAAAAGTAGGAAGTAAAATATAAAACGATGGACATAGTTCAGGTTAGGGTTGGGCCTAACCCTGAACATCTACAGCTGTCAGTTCAGCAATCGGTACACCATTATTGCTAATCTATGTCGGAGCTGCTGGCTGGCCTGCCTGCCATATTAGCCGGAAATAAATCCATCCAAATTTTACATATCATTAGGGCCCTGAGAGGGTGGGTTTTTCACCTGGGTAATTTGGGGCTGTTGTTCGGGGAAAGTGCCTACGTTACTATTTTCTTGTTGCCTTTCCTAATCTTGAAACGTTTATATTTGGAACAGAATGAATGCAGACGAGGTTCGCCAGAGTTTTATTGACTTTTTCAAGGAGAAGCAACATGAATATGTGCACTCGTCATCGACTATCCCCTTTGATGATCCTACATTGCTGTTTACAAATGCTGGCATGAATCAGGTAAAGGGATAAAGAGAAACATGACTGAGTAAATTACTTTTAGCTCCGAGAAATAGATAATTTTCTTACCCTTGGTGGATTCCAGGGCCCCATTTTGGGAGAACAATTATTAAACTTATTGCCCCTGTAACAAACATGACATGAAGGGCGACTAATTTTGGGTGTTTCTTTTTAAGTTGAAGTGAATTTGCCTGAAATGCAAGGAACCAACAGTCTCCATAAAAATAAGCCAGATCTGTAAAACACATGTGCATGCAAAACTCTGTTCTGGAACAAGACTTATATCCAAAGTGGACAAACAGCCAGAACTTTTTGCCTGAGTTTACAGGCTGTGAATGCTAAGAAAAAGAAGAATGTAATTATCTTTACCAACAAGGTTAGCACTTGTCATATTTTTGTGCTGTTCCCTTTCAGTGGTGAAGAAATCAGTGGTCAGTATTGTATACTGTTATGTAGTGGTCAGTATTGTATACTGTTATGTAGTGGTAAGTATTGTATACTGTTATGTAGTGGTCAGTATTGTATACTGTTATGTAGTGGTCAGTATTGTATACTGTTATGTAGTGGTCAGTATTGTATACTGTTATGTACTTGTGAGAAAAGGTAACGGTGCTGTCTAGAGACTACACTTGTTTACTTGTGAGAAAAGGTAACGGTGCTGTCTAGAGACTACACTTGTTTACTTGTGAGAAAGGGTAAAGGTGCTGTCTGGAGACTACACTTGTTTACTTGTGAGAAAAGGTAAAGGTGCTGTCTGGAGACTACACTTGTTTACTTGTGAGAAAAGGTAACGGTGCTGTCTGGAGACTACACTTGTTTACTTGTGAGAAAGGGTAAAGGTGCTGTCTAGAGACTACACTTGTTTACTTGTGAGAAAAGGTAAAGGTGCTGTCTAGAGACTACACTTGTTTACTTGTGAGAAAGGGTAAAGGTGCTGTCTAGAGACTACACTTGTTTACTTGTGAGAAAAGGTAAAGGTGCTGTCTAGAGACTACACTTGTTTACTTGTGAGAAAGGGTAAAGGTGCTGTCTAGAGACTACACTTGTTTACTTGTGAGAAAAGGTAAAGGTGCTGTCTAGAGACTACACTTGTTTACTTGTGAGAAAGGGTAAAGGTGCTGTCTAGAGACTACACTTGTTTACTTGTGAGAAAAGGTAAAGGTGCTGTCTAGAGACTACACTTGTTTACTTGTGAGAAAAGGTAAAGGTGTTCTCTAGAGACTACACTTGTTTACTTGTGAGAAAAGGTAACGGTGCTGTCTAGAGACTACACTTGTTTACTTGTGAGAAAAGGTAAAGGTGCTGTCTAGAGACTACACTTGTTTACTTGTGAGAAAAGGTAACGGTGCTGTCTAGAGACTACACTGTTTATATACTTGTCCGAAAAGGTAAAGGTAATGTGTAGAGACTATACTTTTGTATATTTGAGAGATCTGAACAAGAAGCAGACACTGAGAAACATTGAAGGATTTGAAGGAAAATGCAAAAAAATAGACAGAGAAACACTGCATTTTTAAACAGTATTGACCCCAGCAATAACACAATCAAATGTATTCTGTTATTGTACGTCTGTTCAAGTCCATATTTTTTGGACACTTGTGAACATAACATAATGTGACAATGTTTCAGGTCAGTGTGGCTGATAGGCAGGTTTACTGTTTTTAGTTGCGGCAAGCTTTTGCTCCTGACAGTAGTTAACCGTGGTATTTTCCTCCGTGTGTAGACTAAAGGGAAATGGTTCCGTCATCCAGGTACTGAGTTGTGTGAATAGCACGACACTGTGAGCTGCAGATTTAGTTGTAAATGCATTTGACTGTGCCCAGTATGGTTTGTGTTGTGCTATGCAGATTTGGAAAATGGCTAGTCACCTGTTGCCAGAGAACTTGTGTTATCTTATGCGATTAATTGCATATGCAACCACTGATCTGTGTAATTGCTGCTTCCATTGACGATGAACTGCATTTATGGTGTCGCACTGTTTGTGTTGGCACTTCTATCGTTGCCTTATGCATTTAAATTGGTTTTGTTGAGACTGCAGTCTGTGTCATTTTATTTTCCACAAGGGACAGGGATGAAAATTCTATATGATTTTTGTTGGCACAGTAAGGGAGCAACTGTGGGGTGCCCTGTTTGCTGTACTGTTGGAACTGCGATTACCTGATTACATGACCAGATATGTTATGTTATTGTATGTTTGTGTCCACAGTTCAAGCCCATATTTTTGGGCACTGTTGACCCCAACAGTGACATGGCCAAGTATGTCCGTGTGGTCAACACCCAAAAGTGTGTCCGTGCAGGGGGCAAGCACAACGACCTTGACGACGTGGGAAAGGACGTCTACCATCACACTTTTTTTGAGATGTTAGGCAACTGGTCTTTTGGGGATTATTATAAGGTAAGTGTTGTGTGAGAGCAACTTGTGGGAGGGCAACTTGTGTGAGGGCAACTTGTGTGAGAGCAACTTGTGTGAGGGCAACTTGTGTGAGAGAAATCCAGATATTTTGAAAGAGGCGAGGGCTCGAAGACAGCTTATCACAGACATCAGACAGAGATAATCATCATTTTTTTAGTCATATAATAAGAAGAGGGAAACCAGATTTTGTTGTGGTCACTGGAAAAATCTGTGGAAAAAGAGTTAGAGGAAGGCAATGCAAGAAGATTCTTGACAGCTTTTTTGTCATGGCATTGAGGGGTGGCAGCACACGAACTGATACACACTATTGAACATCGCAGGTTGTGGAGAGACATAATTGCCCATGCCAGTCGGTTAGGCGCTTGATGATTATGACATGTTTTGTTGAGTGTGAGTCCCTGACAGCGTGGTGGCTTGCTCACTTTCATCTGCGGAAGGCAGAGCTGCTTGGATCCTTTGTCATGTTTCAGTAAATTTGATTTTGGGGAGAGAGATGTTTTTTTTTTGGCTCTTGTATTTCACATGGTAAATGAGTACTGCTTATACTTGCTTGCTTTGTTGAGGATAAAAACACAAATTTGATCCCATTCAGTTAGCTTATAAAAGATTTTGGTTATAATTGTGATCTTTATATTGTTATCTGACCCTGTCTGGGTTTCAGCACCCCATTGAAGGGAAAAACAAGAAAAGACTCACTGTCTGCCTGAAAAGTGTGCCGCAAAAGACAGCTAATTAGTGGCGATACTCTCAAAGTCAGAGTACATCTGCGTGAGAAGTGAGGAACCAGCAGTCTGCATACAAACACGCCAGATCTATAAAACAGATGTGCATGCAAAACTCAAGTTCTAGAACAAAAACAAAGCCCAGAGGTGGACGAACAACCAGAAATTTATGCCAGAGTTTACAACTGGTGAACACTAGATTATTATGTGGATTTGTTTGTGTGTACAGTGCACAGATTGGGTTTTGGAGATGATGGGATTGAAAAGAGGGTGCAGACATAAATAAAAGGAAGTCTATACAGATGGGTCCGCAGAAAGTGAAGTTAGAAATGGTGGTGCTTGAGTGTACATATAATTCCCAGATGGTACTAGGGATAAGTCCAGCGTACCAACTGGAAAGTACTGCCATAACTATGATGCAGAAACTCAGGCTATCAAGATAGCAACAGAGAAACTGCTAAATACCAATCTTGGCTCACTGTATGTGGTAATGCTAACAGATGCTAAATCAGTACTTAAAGTACTCCAGTCTAGGAAACTACCAGAATTGCAAACACTGCTAACACAACTCAGCCTTTAGCGAAGAGTTGTAATGCAGTGGATACCTTCATATTGTGGAGTGCCTGGAAATGAGAAAGCTGATCAACTGGCAGGAGAAGGTGCAACAAAAGTGCAGCCAGATGTACCGGTCACATACCACCAAAAAAAAAAAAAAGAATCATTAAATCAATCAGGAAACCACCAGCCCCAGCACAAGACGACTATTTTATTATGGACAGATCAGAACAAGTCATTATCCTCCACCTCAGAACAGGGCACAACCCATTACGTAACCACATGTACACAAAATTCAAGATAGGCATATCAGCCATGTGCACCTGTGGAAAGGTGCCCCAGACAGCAGAGCATGTACTCCAGGACTGCACCGAATTTGACACATTAAGGCAAACCTTTTGCCAGAAAGAACAACAGTGGAACGTAAACTCTATGGACCACTGAATAAATTAACAACAACAGTGAAATTTATACAAGAGACAAAATTGCTGATATAGACAACTTATTTCAGGCGAACGAAAGAAGAAGAAGAAATAAAAGGACAGGCGAAATATTTCTTCCGTATTCAGATGTAACATGATTTTTAAAATTGTAAAGGACCTTTTATCTGTGTCTTAAGGCGTATTGGGCATATAGGGCTAGACCTATATTTTATAGACCAATCGGCACTTGGTGGGTGATGTGGTCAACATCACGCCAGCCGCCTTTACTTCCCAGAACTTTGATACCAATTTAGGGCTGGGTCGACCTGGAAGCCAAGGTCTTTTTGTTGTTGTTGTTGTAAGTCTGGCTCTGTTACTAAAATATAATTGATTGAAGACGAGCGAACAAGAGGTAAACAGTGATACGCGTGGGAGAGAGAGTGTTGGAGATCATTGCAACCATCCTTAATGGTGAAGATGGCACTTTATTGAATAACTGACCTCAAAACTTCTTTGAAACCTGTATGAAAAATAATGTAAATTGAGTTTATATATTCATAATCATTGTATGTTTAAAAAAAAAGTCTTATTTATGTGATTTCAAAGTAAAATTAATTTGCAGAAAGAAGTGTGTACCTGGGCGTATGAATACTTGGTGGACCGAATGAAACTGGACAAGTCTCGCTTGTATGTGACCTACTTTGGTGGGAATGAAGCCTCAGGATTGGAGCCTGATAATGAGGCCAGAGACATCTGGCTGCGTTTGGGGTAATCTCTTTCTTCTTACTGTTGGTGTTTGTTTATAATTATGGGTAATCTCCCTTCCCTGTGTCGGTTCAGGGGCCCTATTGGTGGGGGGGGGGGGGGGGAGGGGTGGCGGGGAGACAGGTGGTACCAACTACTGTTGTATGGTAGCTCACTCATGTCTGATCAAGTTAACAGAGAACATGTAGTAATAACTACTGTTATACAGTAGCTGACATATCCGACTGAGACCTGGCTCAGTATGTATATACATATATACCATCAAGCCTTGTCTTTCTAGAAAAGAAGAGGTGCCAGTACTCACTAAAAGGTCTTAAAGAGGTGCTGGTACTCACCAAAAGGTCTTAAAGAGGTACCGGTACTCATCATGAAATGTCTGTTTCTGTAGCACTGAAAAACCTGATGCCTAAAAAAAGGTAAAAAGTAAAGTAAAGATCCCTTTTTACGTCTTCAGGCGCATCAGGCATGTGGGAAGAGCACCTATATTTTTTCAGACCGATCAGCACTAGGTGGGTAATGTGTCAGCATTATGCCATTCTAAAAAAAGGTACTGACAGAAAAACACCTTGTATACCATGTAAAAATAAAGGTAAAGTCGGAAAATGTGAACCAGCATCATTGCACGCGGTTATAAACCATAAGTGCGCTGCCAGAGTGTCAACTCTGGTACCCTTTTCCTAGAGGCTGGGTGAACCCCAGGAACCACCCAGTTTCAAACACCGACCTTGGGCTGCAGCGAGTCGCAGCTAGATTTGAAAGCAAGCCTCTTATCGCCTGCGCTAACGAGGCCCCTCATACAATGAATACCATGAAGCAAACCATGTATACCATGTCTATTGATTGATTGATTGAGGCTTGAATTTGTTTCTCAAACAGAGTTGAAGCTGATAAGGTCTTGCCTTTCGGAATGAAGGACAACTTCTGGGAAATGGGGGAGACGGGACCTTGCGGCCCGTGTTCAGAGATTCACTTTGATCGAATTGGGGGACGAAACGCCAAGGAGTTGGTCAACAAAGACGATCCTAATGTTGTGGAGATTTGGAACCTCGTCTTCATCCAGTACAACAGGTAATCCTTCTTTTTCCTCCTCCCCCCCCCCCCCCACTTTTTCTTCATCTTCTTCTTCTTAGCGTTCACTGGCTGTAAACTGCAGCGAATTGTCCTCGGTTTTTCTCCACCTATAGCTGTTGGTCTTATTCTAACATTTGACTTTTGCGTGCACATTCATTTAACATATCTGGCTTATTTGTGTGCAGACTGTTGTTTCCCCGCCTCTCAGGCAGATGCACTCCGACTTTAAAAGAACACCCCTATTTAAAAACATTTTACAACATGCATGTTAGGTCACAGTGAATCTATTTTCTTGTACCCCAAAATAAGGCCAACGGAACTCACAAGAGGACATCAGTCTTCTTCTGGGGCTTTATCTGCCGTTAAATATTCCCACTTCCTCTTATAAGGATTTAATTGCATCTTTATATATTCTGGGAGCCACCGTGGTGTAGTAGCTAGATGCTCGCCTGCAAATCCTAAGGTTGTGGGTTCATGTGCTGATGGAGCAGGGTCCCCCCCCCCCCCCCCCCCCCCCCCCCCCCCCCCCCCCCCCCCCCCCCCCCCCCCCCCCCCCCCAAATGGCTATATCTCCCAGGGTGTACAAGGTGAAGTCCCAGGAAGTAAAGGTGGTTGGTGTGATGTTGACCACATCTCCCACCGAGTTTTGATTGGTCTATAAAATATAGGTCTAGCCCTATATGCCCAGAACACCTGAAGGTGTGGAAAAGGGTCCTTTACTTGTTTACTTACTAATATATTCTAGATATAACACGTGTGCAGGCTGCTTGTTTCTGGCAGTAGTTAAAAGTGTGACTGTCTGTTTTCAGGGAGGTCGATGGAAGTTTAAAACCTCTACCCAAAAAGAGCATTGATTGTGGTATGGGATTTGAACGTATGGTTTCTGTTGTACAAAACAAGATGTCCAACTATGACACCGACAACTTCCAGCCATTGTTTGAGGCCATTCAGAAGGTATCCAGTAATTCAGAATTATATTGTTTACTTTTCACAATTGATATAACTATACATTGGGGATTCCCATGTTTGCTCATTGCTCTGAGTGTTCCAATGTTGGCTCATAGCTCTGAGTGTTCCAATGTTGGCTCATAGCTCTGAGTGTTCCAATGTTGGCTCATAGCTCTGAGTGTTCCAGTGTTGGCTCATTGCTCTGAGTGTTCCAATGTTGGCTCATAGCTCTGAGTGTTCCAGTGTTGGCTCATTGCTGTGAGTGTTCCAATGTTGGCTCACTGCTCTGGTGTTCCAGTGTTGGCTCATTCCTCTGAGTGTTCCAATGTTGGCTCATTCCTCTGAGTGTTCCACTGTTGGCTCCTTCCTCTGAGTGTTCCAGTGTTGGCTCATTGCTCCCATGCAGCAGTCCTCCCAGAGTTCCTGTACTCACTGTTCCCATGAAAAGTTGATGTAAGATTCCCAGTTAAGCCTAGTGAAAATTCTGAAATATCCATGCACTGGGACCTACAGAACAACAGACACAGTAAGAGCTAGAAACCTTGAAGAAAGAATTTAACACTGTAGTGAATAAATGGAAGGGGAACCCACTCTGAGATACTGGGAGTGACCAATACAAATATAGTTTAGCTTGAGTTGGTTGAGGCCTGTGTTGTAATGGCAGATAAAAATAAGAAAAGTAAGCATTTTAAAATAACAGCAATTTGTAATGCAATAATGGCAGATAAAGATAAGTAAAGTAAGCTTTTTAAAATAACAGCAATTTGTAATGCCATAATGGCAGATTAGGATCGGAAAGTAAGCATTTTAAAATAACAGCAATTTGTAATGCCATAATGGCAGATTAAGATCGGAAAGTAAGCATTTTAAAAAAAACAGCAATTTGCTATGTCAAAATGGCAAATTAAGTGAAGAAGAACAGTTGTAAAGTAAAAGCAGTTTGTAATGCCTTAAAAGCAAATAAAAGGAAGAGTGTTTCAAAAAAGAAAGAGTAAGTGCTTGAAGAAAGCATTAATTTGAGATGCCCCAAATGACAGATAAAAAAGAATACAAATAAATGTTTTCAAGTAGCAAAAATGTGTAATGCCCTAATTACAATTACAATTAGCAAAATTTAAATGCTTTTGAAAACAAATGTAAGAACATGTTGAACGTAAAATGGGATGAATTCAAGAGAGATGAAGAAATAAGAAAAATATCTAGGCAGTGATCTCAATACTTGAAACTTTACAGTTGTGACTGTCTGACATGGGTTAAAGTAATAATTGGACCTGTGAGAGTATGTGTAAGTTAGCTTAGGTCGAAGAGTTAAAGTATTATGTAGGGCGTATATGGTTAATGAAACAGTAGAAGAGTTAAAGCTCTTGAAGATTGATTACTCAGGGTGGGGGGGGGGGGGTGTGTCAGTACTCTATTTAACAACTGCATTATATGATCTGACACTTGCCCTTGATTTGCATATTTCTAGGCTACAGGTTGTCCTGTGTATCAGGGTCGTGTTGGGGCAGAGGACACTGATGGGGTGGACATGGCGTACAGAGTTTTGGCAGACCATGCCAGGACTATTACCATAACCTTGTCCGACGGTGGCAGACCCGATAATTCTGGCCGAGGGTAAGAACTAGGGTATACCTTGATGACGCAAGCTCTGTGTTTGTTTTACTTGAATCTAGTATGTTTAGTCAGCGAGAAAACTTTGTTAAAAATTTAAAGTTTTTCCTGTCATTTTTCTTGAAGCACTTTACGTGTAAAAAGTAAAACCAAAGGACACTTTTTCACGCTGTTGGGTATATTCAGTATGTAGGTCACGACCTATATTTGATAGACCAATCGGCACTAGCTATTGGGTAACACTGGATGAACTGTATTCCATGTTTTCCATTAATAAAGGCAGTTTCTATAGCTGGGGGTGCTTGTAGTCATCTGTGAATATCAAGCAACTCTTATTTTACAACTTTAAGCGGCTCACATGTTTAAATTCACAAACCGTCAACACAACATAAATGTCCATGTGTACACATGCTTCACAAGCCCTGGCTCCATTAACTTTTTATACCCCACAGTGATTTCTGCATACAACAGTGAGCAAGAGATAGATAGTGATACATGTGGAAAAATAACAAAGAGAGGTGGATGAATAGCAGTCTGTCAGCATCAGATGAACACAAATGATGTGTGAGCGTTACGGCTAGAAAGCCTTCATCAGCACATTACATGAGTATATGATGCCACCATTACAACCACTCCGTAGTATGGAGATGACACCTGATTGAGTGATTGAATCTCTGTAAATGTTGACTTTGTATCCAGATATGTCCTGAGGAGAATCTTGCGGAGGGCAGTGAGGTATGCCACAGAGAAGCTCAATGCCAAACCTGGGATGTTTGCCTCACTTGTGGATACTGTTGTGCAGCTGTTGGTGAGTTTGTTCTTTTCCACCAAGGACTTCCTATATCTAAGATAGTCAGATTATCTTGTTCTGTAAATGTATCATTGTCATCCTTATCATGTGCCTTGTCAATTAACATGGCCGGTCATGCTTTTTCATGTTGGGCCATCTCCTGCATCAGGTTGCTTTCCAAAACCCTTTTACTTTTTCTGTTCACCAGTTGTCTTGTCGATAAACAGGAGGACTTCAATGAGCTGCTCTTTGCCGACGATCAATGCATATTTCACAGTGATAGTAAACAGCTGCAAGACCACATAAACCTACTACACGACAGTTGCCTCAAGCATCATATGAAGATCAATACTGAAAAGACAGAAGTCATGAGCATAAGTAGAGAGCAACAGACCATCGACATAAAGATTCTAGATCACAGCCTAAAACAGGTGCAAGAATTTAAATACCTGGGAAGTATCTTTACATCCAATGGTAAAATAGACAGAGAGATCGAAGCAAGAATCCAACAAGCCAACAATGTCGCATACCAGCTTGCCCCAATTTTAAAACACCCTGCTTTCCCAGCTGAGATAAAAAGACATTATAAATACAATCTTTATACCGACATTAGGTTATCAATGTCAGACTTGGACATTAACAAAAGAACACGAGAGAAGACTAACCACCTGTGAAATGAGATGTTTGAGAATGGCTGCGAATAAAACCAGAAGAGATCGAGTGAGAAACGATGTGATTACAAGAACTATTGGAACCATACCCATCGTTAAATTTATTGAGAAGCAAAGAATGAAATGGTTTAGTCACCTAATGAGAATGGAACCAACGATGCCAGCATCAAGAGCATACAACATGAAAATCGAAACAACAAGAGGCAGGGGAAGACCAAGAAGAAGATGGATTGAAGGAGTCACGGACAACTTGAGACTTCATAACATCACGGCATATGAAGCGACTGAGCGCGCCCTGGCTCGGTTGCCGATCATTTGATAGACTGCGACGCCTAGCGGCACAAGCAGATTTTGACAAAAGAAAGAAAGAAGTTGTCTTGTGCCTTGCAGCATCAGATTCTGAAGAGGCAACTCGCTAAAGCCTGGATGTATGCTACATGGATTCCCTGGGTGGTTTCCAGGGCCTGTTTTGGAGAGGGGGGAGGGGGAGAGAATAGACTCACTCCTAACAAGCTAGGAGGTGACTAATTAGGGGTGTTCCCTTCAGAGTTGGAATACATCTGCCTGAGCGGCAAGGAACAAACAGTGTGCATGTAATTAAGCCAGATCTGTCAAATGGATGTGCACTCAAATTCAGCTTCTGGAACAAGAGGTGCAGAAGTGGATGAACAACCAGAACTTTCTGCTGGAGTTCACAGTGGTGAAGGCTCAAAAGAATAATAATAAGATACATGGTTTGGGGGTGGGGGGGATCCAAGAAGGGAATGAGGATAAAGGAGAAAATGATTGCAGAAAAATCTGAGATGAAGCGCATTCATTCAGTACATGCTGTGGCAACAGTGTTTCTCAAATCCCATGCTCTGATTATGGATGACTTTTTTTGGACATGAGCAAGTCTTGCTACCCTCGCTTGGTCTGGATATGCACGCCTCTGTGGCACAATATATAACACTATCCTCTGGAAAGACAGAAAGGTGCCAAGATAGGGGTGATGTTTTGTTCTGTTTCTTTGTTTAATTTTGTTTACTAAATAATCTTTTTGTGCTTTTCTAACCCTCAGGGGGGCATAGGCCCTCAACCAACTCACACCAAGTCCTTCTATCACCCAATGGTGCATAGGCCCTCAACCACCTCACGCCAGGTCCTTCTATCACCCAATGGGGCATAGGCCCTCAACCAGCTCACGCCAGGTCCTTCTATCACCCAATGGGGCATAGGCCCTCAGCCACCTCACGCCAGGTCCTTCTATCACCCATTGGGGTATAGGCCCTCAGCCAGCTCACGCCAGGTCCTTCTATCACCCAATGGGGCATAGGCCCTCAACCAGCTCACGCCAGGTCCTTCTATCACCCAATGGGGCATAGGCCCTCAGCCAGCTCACGCCAGGTCCTTCTATCACCCAATGGGGCATAGGCCCTCAGCCAGCTCACGCCAGGTCCTTCTATCACCCAATGGGGCATAGGCCCTCAACCAGCTCACGCCAGGTCTTTATATCACCCAATGGGGCATAGGCCCTCAACCAGCTCACGCCAGGTCTTTATATCACCCAATGGGGCATAGGCCCTCAATCAGCTCACGCCAGGTCCTTCTATCACCCAATGGGGCATAGGCCCTCAGCCAGCTCACGCCAGGTCCTTCTATCACCCAATGGGGTATAGGCCCTCAGCCAGCTCACGCCAGGTCCTTCTATCACCCAATGGGGCATAGGCCCTCAACCAGCTCACGCCAGGTCTTTATATCACCCAATGGGGCATAGGCCCTCAACCAGCTCACGCCAGGTCCTTCTATCACCCAATGGGGCATAGGCCCTCAACCACCTCACGCCAGGTCCTTCTATCACCCAATGGGGCATAGGCCCTCAACCACCTCACGCCAAGTCCTTCTTTCCTCCTCTATCACATGCAGCTGTCCCCATGTCATCCCAATCTTTTTAACTTCACTCTCAAACTTCCTTCTCCATGTATTTTTGGTCTTCCTTTATTTCTACGCCCCTATTGGTTACAGTGCAAAGACATAGTTATTTTGTTCTCAGGTTCTCTGAACGTGTGTCCTATCCAACACGAGCGCCCTTTCATCATCTGTTGGTCGGTTGGAACTTGTTTAATTCTCTCCCAAAGCTCTACATTAGTGATTCGGTCATATCATTTAATTCCTTCTCTTCTACACATTTACCTATTAATGAATGTTTTATAGTTTATTAGTAACTGCCTTAGTTGTTCTCCATGTTTCCGTTCCTTACAAATCCATTTGACATAAGAATTCAAAAAAATTTTAAGCTTAATTCTATCCTGTCTTTTTGTTTGTTTGCAGGGAGGAACGTTTCCAGAAGTCAAGAAAGATCCAGAAACGGTAAGTTTAAAATGTCATAATGAGCTCCACTTCCACCACACACAAGACCTATATTTTTGGTGGCTATAACATATCCACTGGAAGCCGCTGTGGTCTAGTGGCTAGATGCTCGCCTGCGGATCGGAAGGTCATGAGTTTGGGTCCTGACAGGGGCGGACTTTTTTTTTTTAAAATGACCTTAACTCCCAGGTCGACCCAGCCTTAAGTGGGTACCAGGTAAATTCATGGAAAGTAAAGGCAGCCGGCGTGATGCTGACCACACGAACCACCAAGTGCCAAACCACCAAGTGCCATTTGATCTACAAAATATAGGTCTAGCCCTATGTACCCAGTATGCCTGAAGGCGTGGACAAGTGTCCTTTACTTACTTACTATGACATATCTACTGATTTGGTCTTCGTTGTGAGACAAGTTGATGGACAGGGACTGGCAGTTAGATTTGTCAAAATCTGGTAGGTAGAGTTTAAAAATCTGGCATGTAGATTGAGCACAGACAAAGCCTTCTTCTTTTTCTCCTTCTTCTTCTTCTTCTTTTCCTCCTCCTCCTTCCTCTTCTTTTCCTCCTCCTCCGTCTGCTTCTGCTTCTTCTTCTTTGTTTTGTAATGTGTTCATGTGTTAGCCAGCTTGTCTGTTCAGAGTGCATTATGCAGTACTAGTGTTTAAAGTCCACAAGTTCAGTCTTCAGCTGCCTGGTTGACTTGGCAGACACAAGTTGCAACCCTTAGATCTGTTGGAACAACATTTCAAACTGAGCTTTCCCTCTTCTGGGTTTTGGGGCCCCATTGTGGGAAACAGGAATTATAGAACAAAAAATTGCATATGTCTGAGAAGGGAGGAACGACAGTCTGCATAAAAATAAAATAGGTGTGTAAAACAGATGTGCATGCAAAGATCTGGGTTCCACAAAAAAATCCAGAATTGGGTGAAAAAATGAGAACTTTCTGCTACAGTTAACAGCCGGTGAACATGAGAAGAAGACAACAAGACTCAGTTTAAAGACTGGTTTAAATGCATGCGTCTGATGCAGAACTTTCTGGTACCATGATTTGATTTGATTCAAGAACCGACATCACAGCACTCGGGGCATTCCATAAGCGCTCCGTCCCCATCTTCAGCAGCCAGCAAAGAGTTCCGATACTGATGGTGCCAGTAGCATTCTGATTAAACGTTCGTCTTGCCTTTCCTCTGAGCCTCGAGCATCTGCCAGAACCTCTCGTCACTCCTCGCTGCATCAATCTCACCAGACTGTGGTGATCCATCTGCTCCTTCGAACTGTACACGCTTTCCCACAAGACACTAACCACGTCTGCCTTATGATGTATCAGTATTCCACCAAGTTGGGCAGAGCCAGCCAGTCTGTCCGCGAGTTCATTTCCCAACACACCGGCGTGACCCGGTGAATTCTGGTACCAATGCTCGTGCAGGCTAATCACAGGCTGGAGAGAAAAGGGTTTCTTAGTATCGCATGTGCTAGGTCACGTGCTTGATGAAACAGTGGAATCTAGCTTGCCTGTTGATGAAATTGTCACATCTTTGTGCTGTAATACCTATGTTTCCCTGTGTGGGTTCCAGGGCACCTTCTTCAACTCTTTTAGTCCCAAAAGTTTTAGCATCAGAGACCCAAGGTGTGGTAAAGAAAAATGTAATATCAGCGCATCTTGTGTTCTTTGGGCTGCTAGGTTGGTACTTATGAACATGTGATATTTTCCTTGGAACTGAAAGAGTTAAAGAGGGAAAAAATTGACCTCCTAACCCTTAACAAGGATGTCATAAAAGACAGTTGGATCTGTTCAGCCGAAAGGTACAAATTTTGCATCCTAGTTGTAAAACACAGTGTGACCACTCTACTAAGGGCAAACATCACACACAGAAGAAGAATATACATGCGGTCTAGTGACTTTGCCTTGTGTTATGATCCTTATGCTCACAGCTCCTGATATGCTCCTTATGCTCACAGCTGCTGATATGCTCCTTATGCTCACAGCTGCTGATATGCTTCTTATGCTCACAGCTCCTGATATGCTCCTTATGCTCACAGCTCCTGATATGCTCCTTATGCTCACAGCTGCTGATATGCTCCTTATGCTCACAGCTGCTGATATGCTCCTTATGTTCACAGCTGCTGATATGCTCCTTATGCTCACAGCTCCTGATATGCTCCTTATGCTCACAGCTGCTGATTTGCTCCTTATGCTCACAGCTGCTGATATGGTCCCTATGCTCACAGCTGCTGATATGCTCCTTATGCTCACAGCTCCTGATATGCTCACAGCTCCTGATATGCTCACAGCTGCTGATTTGCTCCTTATGCTCACAGCTGCTGATATGGTCCCTATGCTCACAGCTGCTGATATGCTCCTTATGCTCACAGCTGCTGATATGGTCCCTATGCTCACAGCTCCTGATATGCTCCTTATGCTCACAGCTGCTGATATGCTCCTTATGCTCACAGCTCCTGATATGCTCCTTATGCTCACAGCTGCTGATTTGCTCCTTATGCTCACAGCTGCTGATTTGCTCCTTATGCTCACAGCTGCTGATATGCTCCTTATGCTCACAGCTGCTGATATGCTCCTTATGCTCACAGCTCCTTATGCTCACAGCTGCTGATATGGTCCCTATGCTCACAGCTGCTGATATGCTCCTTATGCTCACAGCTGCTGATATGCTCCTTATGCTCACAGCTCCTTATGCTCACAGCTGCTGATATGCTGCTTATGCTCACAGCTGCTGATATGCTCCTTATGCTTACAGCTGCTGATATGCTCCTTATGCTCACAGCTGCTGATATGCTCCTTATGCTCACAGCTGCTGATATGCTCCTTATGCTCACAGCTGCTGATATGCTCCTTATGCTTACAGCTGCTGATATGCTTCTTATGCTCACAGCTCCTGATAAGCTCCTGATATGCTTCTTATGCTTACAGCTCCTGATATGCTCCTTAAGCTCACAGCTCCTGATATGCTCCTTATGCTTACAGCTGCTGATTTGCTCCTTATGCTCTCAGCTCCTGATAGGCTCCTTATGCTCACAGCTCCTGATATGCTCCTTATGCTCTCAGCTCCTGATATGCTCCTTATGCTCACAGCTGCTGATATGCTCCTTATGCTCACAGCTCCTGATATGCTCCTTATGCTCACAGCTCCCGATATGCTCCTTATGCTCACAGCTCCTGATAAGCTCCTTATGCTCACAGCTCCTGATATGCTCCTTATGCTCACAGCTCCTGATAAGCTCCTTATGCTCACAGCTCCTAATATGCTTCTTATGCTCACAGCTGCTGATATGCTCCTTATGCTCACAGCTCCTGATATGCTCCTTATGCTCACAGCTCCTGATATGCTCCTTATGCTCACAGCTGCTGATATGCTCCTTATGCTCACAGCTCCTGATATGCTCCCTATGCTCACAGCTACTGATATGCTCCTTATGCTCACAGCTACTGATATGCTCCTTATGCTCACAGCTGCTGATATGCTCCTTATGCTCACAGCTGCTGATATGCTGCTTATGCTCACAGCTGCTGATATGCTCCTTATGCTTACAGCTGCTGATATGCTTCTTATGCTCACAGCTCCTGATAAGCTCCTGATATGCTCCTTATGCTTACAGCTCCTGATATGCTCCCTATGCTCACAGCTGCTGATATGCTCCTTATGCTCACAGCTGCTGATTTGCTCCTTATGCTTACAGCTGCTGATATGCTTCTTATGCTCACAGCTCCTGATAAGCTCCTGATATGCTCCTTATGCTTACAGCTCCTGATATGCTCCCTATGCTCACAGCTGCTGATATGCTCCTTATGCTCACAGCTCCTGATATGCTCCCTATGCTCACAGCTGCTGATATGCTCCGTATGCTCACAGCTCCTGATAGGCTCCTTATGCTCACAGCTCCTGATAAGCTCCTTATGCTCACAGCTCCTGATACACAAATTGTTGTTCTCTTTAGGTGAAGGAGATCATCAATGAGGAGGAGGCTCAGTTTTTGAAGACTTTGTCTCGTGGCCACAAACTTCTGGAACGCAGCATCAACAAAATGGGCGACACCAAAACTGTGCCAGGTGAGTTATTCACTGGCAGGTTGAACTGGATCCGTCAGTTGAATATCTTCAGTAATCTCTGGTCTTGTGCTTAATCCACGTGGCATGTAAACTGAGTTGTCAGCTTGCGTTCTATAGGTTCCCCAAATCTTAGTTGTCAGGTATTTTAGGTGTAGCCAAATGCTGCTTTGTAGCTCCTCCAGGAGAGAACAGTCTTGAAAGACATGATCTGGAGTCTGTTCAGCACAAACACACTAGCATAAAGCTGTTTGGTTCATACGTAATTTATGTACGAGTTTGTTGAGTCAGGTGAACATCATATTTTTTTTTCTTTGGTTCATACAAAATTTATGTAAGAGTTTGTTGAGTCAGGTGAACGTCTTTATATACTTCTGTCTTTGGTTCATACAAAATTTATGTAAGAGTTTGTTGAGTCAGGTGAACGTCTTCATATACTTCTGTCTTTGGTTCATACAAAATTTATGTAAGAGTTTGTTGAGTCAGGTGAACGTCTTCATATACTTCTGTCTTTGGTTCATACAAAATTTATGTAAGAGTTTGTTGAATCAGGTGAACGTCTTCATATACTTCTGTCTTTGGTTCATACAAAATTTATGTAAGAGTTTGTTGAGTCAGGTGAATGTCTTCATATACTTCTGTCTTTGGTTCATACAAAATTTTTGTAAGAGTTTGTTGAGTCAGGTGAACGTCTTCATATACTTCTGTCTTTGGTTCATACGTAATTTATGTAAGAGTTTGTTGAGTCAGGTGAACGTCTTCATATACTTTTGTCTTTGGTTCATACAAAATTTATGTAAGGATTTGTTGAGTCAGGTGAACGTCTTCATATACTTCTGTCTTTGGTTCATACAAAATTTATGTAAGGGTTTGTTGAGTCAATTGAACGCTTCATATACTTCTGTCTTTGGTTCATACAAAATTTATGTAAGGGTTTGTTGAGTCAGGTGAACGTCTGCATATTTTTTTATCTTTCCACTCCTAGCACGGCTTATACCTTCAGTTGACTCTCACCACTTTTTGTTTGATGCTATCATCATTGTGCAGTTACAGTTTTCTGTGGGGTGTAGTCTCATACCAAGCTTTCCTAATTGCCTCTTATGACATGCATGGTAGGTTGCAATATAACTGGGTTTTTTGTTGTTGTTTTACACACAAGGGCCCTGGTGACACCTGCATTATAATGGTGGTCTGGCCATGTTCTTCTTCTTTATTTACCCTTATAAAGGCAGTTGGCACATTGTGTTGTGGTTTACAGCTTGGCTGAACTATCTGCATCTTTCATCCCAACATATACGATTTCAGCAAATCCCTCATTGTCTTTGATGGCATGCTTGTTAGTCAAGCAATGAGTCTGTTCATCTCTTTCTTTTTCCAACTCCGTTTAAAAAAAAAAAAAAAAAGAATTTTTCCCAAGAACCCACATGTTAGTGAACGTCTTCTGTTTCTTTTTCGCATTCACCAACTATAAGCTCTGATGGAAATTTATGGTTGTTCATCCACCTCTGGACTTGAGAGTCTTGTTCCAAAACCTGGGTGTTGTGTGCACATCTGTTTCACAGATCTGGCTTATTTGTATACATATTTTCGGTTCCTTGGCTGTCAGGCAGATGCACTCTTGACTTTGACCTAGATTTCCAGGTTGACTCAAAGTAAAATGGGTAGGAGAAAATGTCAGGGAAAGTAAAAGGGGTCAGCATGAAACTTACTGACCACATCACTCTTCTTCTTTTTTTTTTCATCATACTAAGCCTTTGAGGTTCATTGCTGCAGATATCACCCGCCTCCATTCATCTCTCTGGTTTGCAGGTCTCTCTGGCCATTATCTCTCCATCGTCTTCTTGGTCTGCCTCATGGTCTACAACCATTCATTTCCCTTGTGTATACAGTTTTTATTTCTCTGACATCTGACATTCTCTCAATATGCCCTAACCATTTCAACCTTTTAACTCTCATGATGCCAGTGATCAATGGTGATTTTAACTGATTATGAATTTCATTGTTGCTTCTCACTCTCCATTCCCCGCTGTTTACATCTTTGATAAGTCCAAAGATTTTTCATAATACTCTGTTTTCAAAAAATCTTTAATAAGCCTTCATCTGTTTTAGTTGTGCTCCATGTTTCAGAGCCATATAAAATTAATGGTTTTATCCCCCCGTGTGGGTTCCGGGGCCCTACTATGGGAAAAACAAGAATAGACCCACTGCCTACCCAAAAGCATGTAGTAAGAGTTGAATAATTGGGAGCTTCCTTCGAAGTCAGAGTGCATTGGCCTGAGAGGCAAGGAACCAACAGTCTGCATACAGATCTGTCAAATGGATGCACACGCAACACTCAGGTTCTGAAACAGGACTGCAGTCCAGAAGTGGACGAACAACAACTTTCCACCGGAGTTCACAGCCGGTGAACGCGAAGAAGATTAAGAATGGTTTTATCAGCGTTTTATATATTTTGATGTTGTGTTGCGAGATAGAGACTTTGACTTTAGCAGATGTTGAAGGGCATAGAATACTTTATTTCCAGGAACACATATCTCACTAGTCAGTCTAAAAACATATAAGTTAGCATCATATACATACAGCACTTCATTGTGTGAAATGTCCTTGACTGAGAGACTGATACTGTTCTCAGGGGATGTTGCCTGGAGACTCTATGATACCTACGGTTTCCCTGTGGATTTGACCTTGCTGATGGTTGAAGAGAAGGGGCTGAGCATCGATATGGCAGCTTTTGAGGAGGCCAAGGCACACTCACTGGTTGGTGTCTGTTTTAGAACATATTTGATGTTATTGCCTTCTTCTTCTTCGCGTTCACCAGCTGTAGACTCCGACAGAAAGCTCTCAATATTCGCTTACCTCTAGATTTTAGTCTTGTTCCAGAACCTGATTGTTGCTTGCACATCTGTTTTACCCATCTTACTTATCTGTATGCAGACTGTTGGTTTCTTGCCTCTCAGGCAGATGCACTCTGACTTTGAAGGAATCCCCCAGTTAGTCGACCCTTGCGACATGCTTGTTGGGAAGGCAGTGGGTCTATTCTTGTTTTCCCCCTAATTGGGGCCCCGGAACCCACACAGGGATGATGTTGTTATATCATTATACCCCCATGTTGGTTCAGGGAGCTCCATTTCGGTGAATAGAGAATCGATCTACTAAAACAGCATGACATAGGAGGCCACCAGTTAGGGGTGTTTCCTTCAGATTCAGAGTGCATCTGCCCGAGATGCAAGGAACAAACAGTCTGCACATAAATAAGCCAGATCTGTAAAACGGATGTGCACACAATACTGGAGTTCTGAAATAAGGCTAAAGTCCAGAAGTGGACGGACAGGCACAAACTTTCCGTTGGAGTTTACAGTCCATGAACACTAAGAAGTCGAAGCAGTTTTATTTTATTGTTGTGACACTGGTAGGTGTCTCTTTTAGAACATATTTCTTGTTCTGCTTTTGCTGTTAAAAGAACCTGGTACCCACTTTAAACTGTGTCAGTCTAGAAATCAAGGTCAATTTTGAAGAGAAAAAATCTGACGATGCAGATTTGAACTCAAGGCCTTTGGGCTGGCAGGCGACCATCTAACCACAACACTAATACAGCTGCCAGTATTGTATGATTGGAAGTCAGTAAGTAAGTCACAAATGGTTAAAAAAAAACTAAAGATGATAACAAACTTCAAAACAGTTTTTTTTTTTAAACCTATAACTGTCCCTTTAGTTTTCATCATAATTTCCACCAACATTGTTGCACTTGTCTCATTGTTTTATCAGTCCTGCCAAATCTGCTGCATTGAACTGCATGCTCTGTTTTCTACACCACATTTTCACTTCACATTCAACTTCTGCGTTATTCACCAAATGTCTCCCGTCAAGGTGGGTTTTCAGTTGGCCAGAAAGGACGAAATCCTTAGGGGCTAAGTCGGGGCTGTAAGATGGATGTTCCAGAAGTTCCCACCATAGATGCTAAATTTTCTCCTGAGTTAACTAGGCTGTATGTGGTCTGGCATTGTCATGAAGGAGCAGTACTTTTCTAGTCAGCAGGCCTGACTATGTACCCAGCTATGCAACGCTTTATGATATAAACATTTGTCGGCATAAACAGGAAGCATTTCCTTGTGAATGTCCTTTGCATGCAGCCTCTTTGCAAAAAAAAAAAAATAATAACATCAGCGCGTTGTTCTTTAAGGGTACACTCCATAAGTACAGTCGCAATTTTCCTGCATCCCATAACTATTTGTGACTCACTTTTTGGTTTCCCGTCGTATATTATTTGTTAAATATTGTAAAAAAAAATTCAGTGATCTTGCAAATCTGTGTGGGAATAGAACTTGTAACTTAGCATAGCATAGAAAATGAATGACCGTTGGTCAGTGTCTTCTTCTGCTGCTTAACCAGCTGATGTCTCAAGGAGGTGGTGGTGTGACTGAAGATCTGATTGGGCTGGACGTGTATGCTCTCAATGATCTGAAGAGCAGGGGTGTGCCTCCGACTGATGACTCCCCCAAGTATTCATACACTGCCGATCAGCTTGGCAGCTACAGTGAGTTTTTCTTTGGAGACAGCATGTTGTCATGTCTTGTTATCTCTGTGAGTGTGATCAGTTATTGTCTTGTTATCTCTCTGTGTGTGATCAGTTATTGTCTTGTTATCTCTGTGTGTGATCAGTTATTGTCTTGTTATCTCTGTGTGTGATCAGTTATTGTCTTGTTATCTCTGTGTGTGATCAGTTATTGTCTTGTTATCTCTGTGAGTGTGATCAGTTATTGTCTTGTTATCTCTGTGTGTGATCAGTTATTGTCTTGTTATCTCTGTGTGTGATCAGTTATTGTCTTGTTTTCTCTGTGTGTGATCAGTTATTGTCTTGTTATCTCTCTGTGTGATCAGTTATTGTCTTGTTATCACTGTGTGTGTGATCAGTTATTGTCTGGTTATCTCTGTGTGTGATCAGTTATTGTCTTGTTATCTCTGTGTGTGATCAGTTATTGTCTTGTTTTCTCTGTGTGTGATCAGTTATTGTCTTGTTATCTCTGTGTGTGATCAGTTATTGTCTTGTTATCTCTGTGTGTGATCAGTTATTGTCTTGTTATCTCTGTGTGTGATCAGTTATTGTCTTGTTATCTCTCTGTATGATCAGTTATTGTCTTGTTATCTCTGTGTGTGATCAGTTATTGTCTTGTTATCTCTGTGTGTGATCAGTTATTGTCTTGTTATCTCTGTGTGTGATCAGTTATTGTCTTGTTATCTCTGTGTGTGATCAGTTATTGTCTTGTTATCTCTGTGTGTGATCAGTTATTGTCTTGTTTTCTCTGTGTGTGATCAGTTATTGTCTTGTTATCTCTGTGTGTGATCAGTTATTGTCTTGTTATCTCTCTGTATGATCAGTTATTGTCTTGTTATCTCTCTGTATGATCAGTTATTGTCTTGTTATCTATGTGTGATCAGCTGTTGTCTTGTTATCTCTGTGTGTGATCAGTTATTGTCTTGTTATCTCTCTGTATGATCAGTTATTGTCTTGTTATCTCTCTGTATGATCAGTTATTGTCTTGTTATCTCTCTGTGTGATCAGTTATTGTCTTGTTATCTCTGTGTGTGTGATCAGTTATTGTCCATGTGTTTCACTCTTCACCTTGTGTGATTTTCTGTAGACAAATAAGCAGGATCTGTAAAATGAATGTGCATACAAAACTCAAGTTCTAGAACACGACCAAAGTTCAGAAGTGGATAAACAACCAGAACTGTCCGCTGGAGTTTACAGATAGTGAATGCTAAGAAGAAGCCACCATTATTGTCCCAAATGTATTTTCCAAGAATGTGCATTTTTGGACACAGCTTTAGAGTAAATGTGGGGGGAAAAACAATTCACATATTTTAAAAAATCATTTTAATTCTACCTAGATTTTGAGTCGGTGACAGCCAAGATTATTGGCCTGCGGTTCAACAAGCAGTTTGTGGATTCCGTGTCAACTGGCCAGGAGTGTGGGATCTTGCTGGACCGAACCAGTTTTTATGCTGAGCAGGGAGGCCAGATTTTTGACGAAGGGTTCATTGTGAGAGATGGGTCAGAGGTATAACTCATGCCTTCCTTCCTTTCACTTTCTTTCTGTCCTTCCTTTCTTAACTTTCTTCCATCACTTCTGTCCCTCCTTCGCTGTCTTACTTTCTCCCTTCATTTCATGCAATGCTTCCTTCACTTCTTTACTTCATCCTGATACTTTCTTTCTTCCTTCCATCACTTATTCCTTCATTTCCTACCTCCCTTTACTTTATTAATTTCTTCTTTCCTTACCTCCTCCTATCCATGACTTCTTTCCTTCCTTCACTTCATTCATTCTCCCCTCCACTTCCCTACTTCACTTCTTTCTTTTATTTCCTTATTCTTTCAGTCACTTCTTTTTTTTTTACGTCACTTCTATTCTTCCTTCTGCCACTTCCATTCTTCCTTCCGCCACTTCCTTTCTTCCTTTTTTCTTTCTATCCTTCCTTCTTTCACTTTCTCTTTGTCTGCTTTAGATATAGAGGGTTTTCATTCTTGCTGTTCATGCCACCTGAACATATTGTCGTAGAGTTTCTCTGATGTCTTGCCACCTTTTACTGAGTCTGCCTCTGGCGCTACATCTCCTCCTCTTGTTATCTGTGCCTTGTTTGTTAGATGTGTCACCACAAGCAACTTTTCTTTATGTGAGCAAATCATCTTCTTTGCATATAACACATGCTTATTACTGTTATTTTTTGAGCTCTCCTTCTGTTGCAAAAAGCTGGTACAGTCAGACTAATTAATGATTGCTTGGGAAAAGGTAATACAAGTTGAATATTATATGCACATGTCAGAAAGACCAAAACTGAGTTCTTTGGTTATATAACATTATCATAAATCTTGTTAGCGTTATCACTTTTACTTTCTCACTTGACCACAAAACATCATAGCTGATAAAACAGGTTGTTACAGCCTGTTACTGCAGATTTTGTTACTGTACCTCTTTTTACAGTATATACCAGAAGTTGTGTCGCTCTGTAAGATTTAAACAGCGAGGTGTATCTGATATTTAAATATTGCGGACACAAACAATACATAGCACAGTTTATTGGCTAACATATTATACTGTATCTTGTCATTGTGTATTACCACAAAGTTACATCAACATATAATGAAACACAAAAATGAAATCTTTCCACTGTAATGCACAAATTATTGTGGCTTCTCTATCACGCTGTAATCTCACCACAATAAGTTCAAGATTACCATGTGGTTTTCCTGTGTTGGTTCCGAGGCCCTATTATACGGAAAACAAGAATAGACCCCCACTGCCTACCCAAAAGCATGTCGTAAGAGTTGACTAATGGGAGCTTCCTTCAAAGTCGGAGTGCATCTGCCTGAGAGGCAAGGAACCAGCAGTCTGCATACAAATTAGTCAGATCTGTCAAACGGATGCACACACAACACTCAGGTTCTGGAACAAAAGTTTGACATTTATGGCACATTTTTTGTTTGTTTCCACAATGCATAATTGTTCATTTTTATTGTCACTGCTTCGGCTAGTTTCAGTAATTACCTGTTCCATGTGTGGTATTTAAATATATCTGATATAACAGTGTCTGAGATGTTGATTCTTCCACAGGATGATGAGTTCAGGGTGAAGAATGTACAGGTGCGAGGTGGTTACATTCTGCATATTGGCACAGTGGAGGGTCTCTTTAAGGTTGGGGATATTGTCCGCTTATTAGTTGATGAGGTACGTTCTTTTTGTATGTTTTCTCATATTTCTGTTGTGATTTGGATACATAGTGATAGTTAATGTGATTTCATATTTCAATGTCATGTTTCAGTATTATCTCTTATTTTGATTGATGAGATACATATGGTCTATAAATATAATGAATTATTTCAAAACTGAAGTATTTTGGCCATGTACAGCTAGAGAAAGAATAGGAGCAGAAGGCACGGTGCCAGGAAAGAGAGCATGGGCTAAACAGAATGAAACATGGGCACAGGATAAAAATGACACCTTAGGTTAGAAAATGTAAGGGGCAGGAGATCTGGTGAGAGACTGAACGAACTTTATTTTCAAAGGGTCACAAATTGGGCACGCAGGCCTGTCTTACATTCGGCCCTTCTAAACACCCGTCTTTCACACTGCAGCTGTATTTTATCAATAAGCATGTTATATTCCTATGATAATATGCATATTATGAATATAAAAAAATAGAGGGGGGAAAAAAGAAAAAGCACAAAAGCATGGGTGGTAAAATGCATGCACCCACCCACTCACTTAAACACACCCACATACCTTCACACACACATTAACACACCCCATTCACTCACATACATACCCACACAGACACGCACATTCCACACACATACAAACATACAAATATACACACACAGACACACCCATAGAAACAAATGCAGACATACACACAAACAGACAGACATATTTCAGGCAGGTTGTAATAAGAGCAACGTTCTACAGAGGACCTGCTAAGTGGTTATGATGTTATCGGCTTTCGGCCACTACATAGCAAACTGTCCTTGTCGTGGCCGTCACAAGCGGCTCTGCCACTATCTTTCAACCTGGGTCTTAACTTTCCCTGTGCATCTTTTATTTCTACTATATTTCTTTAGTTGTGTGAGTTTCAGTACCACATTCTAGGGATATTATCAGGCTTGTCTCACTATGTTTCCTATCCAGCTACATCATCTTTTCCTCTCTTGAACCATTAGAGTTCTTTCAGTTCTCTTTAAGTTTTGCCTTTGTGGTTCTATCATACAGTTTTCCCGGTTGACATCCTGACCGTATCGTGGGGGGGGGGAAAAGAATAGACCCATTGCCTCCCTAACAAGCATGTCATAAGAGTTGACTTATTAGGGGTTTCCTTCAAAGTTGGAGTGCATCTGCCAACAAACAGTCTGTGTACAAATAAGCCATATCTGTCAACCAGATGTGCTTGTAAAACTCAAGTTATGGAACAAGACTTAAGTCCAGAAGTGGACAAACAACCAGAACTTTGCCGGCGAACTCGAAGAAGAAGAAGAGCATACAGTATTATTCCTTTTATTGTGTGAAAGCACCAGTTAATGAAAGTGTTTAGTTGATTAATTATTGTTCTTCTCACCCTCCATATTTCTTCTGCCTGCAGCCTCGACGATGCGCCATCATGAAAAACCACACTGCTACCCACATTCTCAACTTTGCTCTAAGGGATGTTCTCAAAGAGACTGACCAGAAAGGCTCACTGGTGGCCCCAGACCGATTACGATTCGACTTCTCTGCCAAGGTTAGCTGCAGCTGTTATATTGTACAACCTGTGCTGACTTTTGCAATGTGTGTTGTTTGATTTGATGTGTCCCAGTATTTTTCAAGTTAGTTGTAATGTCTGGTTGGCTGTTCCAAGCAGTTGGAGATATTTGATTGGCTGGTCCCCATATTTGCCAAACAAGTTTTGATGTTTGGTTGGCTGTTCCAAACAATAGGTGTGTGTTGTTTGATTGGCTGTTCCCACTTTGTATCATATTTTGCAAGAAATGTTATTTGCTTTACTGCGTAAGAAAAAAGTATGGACCTGCTGCTCTTTAACAAGCATTTAGCAAAAAGTGACTAATGAAGAACTTGCTGAAATCAGATGTATTGGGTTGAAAGATGCACATGTGATAACCTAGCTGTACACCGCAATACATCGTACCAAGTGCTTTTTTAAGAGTGAATGAAAAGGAAGCTGCTTTCATTATGTTCCAAGTATTCTATGATGATTGAGTGTTTTGAAAGACTTGTTAAATACAGGGCTTGTGATAAATGAGTAAACAGATAAGAAAAATTGGCTATTGATTTGATTCTATCCTCTAGGTGTGCCTTCCAAACCCTCTGGTCACACCCAGGGGCATCATTCTCTCCAGCCCATAATAATGTAGTTTCTCTTCTGACTGCGTTACTTGTTCCAAAAGGGCTTTGACCACATCTGCCTTGTCATGTGTGTATCAGGAAATAGATAAGCGCCAGTCTGAGAAAGTTTACAATCGAAGCAAGATGTAGATAGTGTTAGAGATACATTGAAGCCAACCTTGCTTGTGAAAATGATACCTTCTTTTTCTTCAGCATTCAAATCCCTTGAGGTTCATTGCTGCGGATATCACCTGCCTCCATTCATCTCTCTGGTTGGTCTTCTCATTCCAGTTGGTGACACCAAGCATGTGTAGGTCTACCTGGATATTGTCTCTCCGTCATCTTCTTGGTGGTCTGTGACCATTCAGCTCCTGCGTGTACACAGTTTTAAATCTGATATTTCCTGTAATTGCCCCAACCATTTCAGTCTATTAGATCTCATGATGCCTGTGATCAGTGGTGATTGAACCAGATTTATTTTATAATTTTACAATTTTATTTTTTAAACAGATTTAAACAGATGAATTTTTTGTTGTTGCTTCTCACTCTCCATTCCCCGCTGTTTGCATCTTTGATGGGTCCAGAGATTCTTTGTAAGAATGTTTTCAAAAATGTGTAACAAGGTTTCATCTCTTTTAGTTGTGCTGCAAGTTTCAGAGCCATATAAAATGAGTGGTCTTATCAACTTTTCATATATTTTGATCTTAGTGTTACAAAATAGAGACCCCCCCCCCCCCCCCCAAGTACTTCCATGTTTCTGCTTTGTTTGGTTTTCATATTGTCGATTTGAAATGGCACCTGATTAATTGAAATATAGACAGTATGTAATGTTTGGTTTGTGCATGCAGATGAAGTAGACAGAGTGCCTCCTCAATCTATTTTTGTTGCTAACTTTCATGATTCTGTGTGTCCGCAGGCGGCACTATTGTTGTAGCTAACTCTCATGATTCTGTGTGTCCGCAGGCGGCACTATTTTTGTTGCTAACTCTCATGATTCTGTGTGTCTGCAGGCGGCACTATTTTTGTTGCTAACTCTCATGATTCTGTGTGTCTGCAGGCGGCAATGAGTGTCAAAGAAGTAAAAGCAGCAGAAGAAATTGTCAACAACTTTGTGGCCAAGAATGAGGTGGTTTATGCCAAGGAGACGTCTCTGGCAGTTGCTAAAACAATTCAGGGTCTGCGTGCTGTCTTTGATGAGGTTTGGCTTGTATTTTATTGTAGTCTGCTTTGTGAATGGTTACATTTATTGCACATGGATGCCTCCATTAGTGAATCAGTCTTCTTCCATACATTACAAGGAGTTTCTTAAAAGGGCATATGCTCTAGCACTGGCCAGGCTCCAAATACACATATACCGGAAATTGTACGAGTTCATGCTATAAAACTGCTTGTGGATTCTTCTTATTTTACAATGTAGCTTCCCTTGTGGGTTCTAAAGCTCTATTTTGGGGGGAGGGGGGGGGGGGGGTCTCTGTGAGAATAGACGCACTGCCCCCTGATAAGCATGTCATAAAAGTCACATAATTAGGGTGTTTTCATTGGAAGTCACAGTGCATCTGCTTGTGAGGCAAGGAACTAACAGTCTGATTGTGAGGCAGGGCACTAACAGTCTGCTTGTGAGGCAGTGCACTAACAGTCTGCTTGTGAGGCAAGGAACTAACAGTCTGCTTGTGAGGCAGGGCACTAACAGTCTACTTGTGAGGCAGGGCACTAACAGTCTGCTTGTGAAGCAAGGAACTAACAGTCTGCTTGTGAGGCAAGGCACTAACAGTCTGCTTGTGAGGCAGGGCACTAACAGTCTGCTTGTGAGGCAGGGCACTAACAGTCTGCTTGTGAGGCAAGGAACTAACAGTCTGCTTGTGAGGCAGGGCACTAACAGTCTGCTTGTGAGGCAAGGAACTAACAATCTACTTGTGAGGCAAGGAACTAACAGTCTGCTTGTGAGGCAGGGCACTAACAGTCTGCTTGTGAGGCAAGGAACTAACAGTCTGCTTGTGAGGCAGGGCACTAACAGTCTGCTTGTGAGGCAAGGAACTAACAGTCTGCTTGTGAGGCAAGGAACTAACAGTCTGCTTGTGAGGCAAGGAACTAACAGTCTGCTTGTGAGGCAAGGCACTAACAGTCTGCTTGTGAGGCAAGGAACTAACAGTCTGCTTGTGAGGCAAGGAACTAACAGTCTGCTTGTGAGGCAAGGAACTAACAGTCTGCTTGTGAGGCAAGGCACTAACAGTCTGCTTGTGAGGCAGGGCACTAACAGTCTGCTTGTGAGGCAAGGAACTAACAGTCTGCTTGTGAGGCAGGACACTAACAGTCTGCATACAAATCAGCCAAATCTGTAAAATATATGTGCACACAAAACTCAAGTTCTGGAACAGGACTAGTCCAGAGGTGGACGAACAACCAGAAATGTCCACTGGAGTTTACAGCCGGTGAGCACGGTGAAGAAGGCAGTTTAACCTGTGCAGTGGTGAACTTTTGTCTTCCCCAGACGGAGAGAGAAGACATTTACATATAAAACATTAACATTTGATTTTTCTCCTCCCCTGTATTTATCTAAGTTTGAAGTTTAAACAATGGATCAAAATCATGGCACACCCATAAGTGCTCCGTTCTTCTTCTAACTCAAGTCGGAGTCCAAAGAAGCTGAGCACAGTGCACAGGCTCTGTAGCACTGGCTAGGATCCTGGAATACTTTGGGAAGATTTTAAACTGAAGATTTTGTCCGCGCAGCGCCGTTAGGCTACTTTTTTCGAATTCCAATTGCCATGGGATTTTTCACGTGCACAACAATGCACACGGGCGTCCGATCTCACTACCAAGACACCTTGGGGAATTACTAGAAGTCTAAGTCCACG